TAATTCCAGGGAAAGAAGCCTTGTCAAGAAAATCCAGCAACCCTCTCAGTTAGCAATGCTGCAATTTCACTGAATCAAACCTCATTCTATGCTCAGGAGATGAGCCGTTGAATTAAATAATTTTCACAAAATTAATTTCTAGAAATAGAAAAGACAGAACTGAATCAGGGAGGGATTGATTTTTCTCCCAGTTTGATTTTGGGGCCAAAACTAGTGCTTTTGGAGAGAGAAAATGTTTCTGGGAAAGCTCTTCTATTGTGAGACTATTCAGTTTTTTAAAATCCTGCTTGCTGCCATTGCTTCCTGCTTTCATACCATTTCTTGCTGGTGACTACTTTGTTCTTCCCAGATTTGTCAGGAATCACATAATGGATGGAATGCAGTACTGTGACTCTATATAGCCACACTTGGCTATGTGCTTTATTTCAGTGCAATCGCGGACACGGGCAATGCTTCCAGGATTAGTCTTCCAGGATTAGTCACATGGGTAATCCTAGCATATCAGGAATTACACAATGAATGGGATGGTCTTAAAACACAATGCAACCAATATATTGCAATGATAAGGCAAGGAGTGGACATTCATTTGAATGAATGGGTGAATATGTTGTAGTTTTCAGGAAATAAAAAAGGGAGACTGGTCAGATGAAGAATGGAGGAAGAGAAAGACAGTCACTGAATCAGTGTTTGATTCACTGAGTAGGACGTCTGCCCCTGAAATTCCAGAAGTGAGAGGAAACTATTGTCATCCCGCCCATGAAAAGGGGCCCACAACTACTGGCTTTTGCTCCATTTTGTACAAACTTCGAGACTATCACGACTTTGAAACTATTCATTATCCGCAGTGGAACATTTGGCTGAGGTTTGTTTCCAGTGTGGTGTAGTGGTTAAGAGCGGTAGACTCATAATCTGGTGAACCGGGTTCGCGTCTCTGCTCCTCCACATGCAGCTGCTGGGTGACCTTGGGCCAGTCACACTTCTCTGAAGTGTCTCAGCCCCACTCACCTCACAGAGTGTTTGTTGTGGGGGAGGAAGGGAAAGGAGAATGTTAGCCGCTTTGAGACTCCTTCAGGTAGTGATAAAGCAGGATATCAAATCCAAACTCCTCCTCCTCTTCCTCCTCCTCCTCCTCCTCTTCTTCTTCTTTGCTGCTCTGTGTGAGGCAAGCACACCCTTGCTCCGCAGATAATCCTGTCATTGCTCAGGAGAACATTCTGCTTTGAATAATGATTGGCCCGATGCATGCACTTCTATAATCTCTTGCTGAAGGTAAATTGGATTGAAGGAGATGCGACAATGCTGTACAATAGTGGCAAAATGTTTAGACTGCCATCTATGGGCTTCATTGATGTAGCAATTGAACAAAGGCTTTGCAATTTAAGCACAGCATGGTTAGGCTCCTCTAGGTGATCTGTAGGGATGGCTGGGGGGAGCTGGGGGGTAGGTTTTGGCATTCAGTTTGCATTTAAAGGTGGGCTTACCTAATTTGCACTTTTCAAAACAATGGGTGAACTGAAACGTAGCTGCCCTTTGGAATTCGCACTTCTATGAATATTGCAATGCAGTTTTCCATACAAGTAATGTGTACCCCAAAAAATCCATATACAAGCATAAAGTATCCATAAAAATGTATGTATTGGTGAAAACAGCATACAAAAAAATGCATTATTTGCAAAGAATGTATATACTAGGTAAAATTACATGCAAACATATTTTTCCTCTTTCCCCCTTTTTTTCTTCTTAAGAGAAGTTCACACTAAGAAGCTGATGCATTTTCTTGGGGTTTTTTTTTAAACAAAAACATTCCCACAAACTGATGTGGAAATGTGGCAGACTGAAAGCTTGGAAAATGAGAAACTGAAATCGACAGATTCACGCAGCCTTGGTGGTCAGTGAATGTGTGCCTCAGAGAAATGGGTATATAATAGTGAATGAGTTTAATAAACAGAACAATATAATAAAGGCAAAATGTTTGTAAATTGATGGAACCTTGCTGTGGCTGGAGGGAGTAGTTTTTTTCTACAAAACCTGTGTACTCTGTATCTTTCTCAAATTTGCAGCGAGTGTGGCGGGCAGGGGAAAGGTGGCAGCCAAAAATTCTATTGGTCCACAGACAGATCTCTGCTAACCAAAGGTCTGGTGCTTTGCCGACCTTCTTCTCCAATTCATGCTTGCAAGGCTCAGGGAATCCTATGCAGCTACTCATTTCAACTTAGGCAGCTCCTACATGAAGGATGGGATGCGGGTGGTGCTGTGGGTTAAACCACAGAGCCTAGGGCTTGCCAATCAGAAGGTCGGCGGTTCGAATCCCCGCGACGGGGTGAGCTCCCGTTGCTCAGTCCCTGCTCCTGCCAACTTAGCAGTTCGAAAGCACGAAGTGCAAGTAGATAAATAGGTACCGCTCTGGCAGGAAGGGAAACGGCGTTTCCGTGCGCTGCTCTGGTTCGCCAGAAGCGGCTTAGTCATGCTGGCCACATGACCCGGAAGCTGTATGCCGGCTCCCTCAGCCAATAAAGCGAGATGAACGCCGCAACCCCAGAGTCGGTCATGACTGGACCTAATGGTCAGGGGTCCCTTTACCTTTACATGAAGGATGCTGTTTCTTCCGCAAAGTTGTTTCTGCTTTAGGCAGGGGTCTGCTCTTGAGCACCCAACAAATTTTACCAGAACCAACCATTCTGACTTCCTACATGAACCAGATGAAAATCGGCTTCAAGAATGAGGTTTAAATTGGCTTTGCTTTAAATTGACTCATGGGGTGAACATAGGATCTGTGTTGGCCGGACTGCAGATTTGATTTCTCTTTGAAATAAACAGCATTTGTTTGTGATGGAAAAGGGGTGGCATGTAAACAAAGGCACACTTTATTCAGCAGCCAGGGCTCACCTGTGTTGTCAATGGTAACAAACACATAAATTGTGAAGGTGAGAATACTCCCTGGTACATGCCCACTGTACCATAGTATCACAAAGGAATAACATTAATTACGATAAAATACACAACAGAGCCCTAGGCACTCAATCTAATAATTATAATAAAATAGTAACAGAAGGATATTGTTGAGCTATCCCTCCCCTGTATGAGAAGAGTAAAAACACATTTCCAAATTTCACTAATATTTGTCATAATAAGTCCAACATATCTCAATCTATTTTTCATAATTCAGCTTCTCAAAATATTAATATGACATTAACCCATATATCTAACTTGGTCCTAAGCAATATCACTTAGTGTGATGAATAAATTTCTGTACCATCTTGCTTAAACTTTTCTTGCATTTGTTTTCATTCTCAAAATCTTTAAAAAAAAGAAGATTCAATTTAGCCATAACTGTGAAATCCCAAACCTTTTCAACTCAAAGAATGAGTAAGCCCCTTCCTAATGAATGTGGGTTACTTCTGAGTAAACCCATATAATATCAAGCTGTTAGTTACCTTTTCTGCAACTTTCCCCCAGTCAAGCCACTCCCAATCCAGTTCTGCAAAAGCAACCTAATCAGTGATTATTAGGCACTGAAACAATATTTGCATTCATTAAAAGATAAAGGCAACATAAAAAGTATTGTTTAGTGGAGGGGCAGATTAAAGGGAAATAAACATTCTTTTCTAACTTCTCTATTCATAAATATGTATTCACTACTTCTTTGTAAGTGGCTAATCATTATCAAGAGTAGGAATTGGAAAATACCCCCTTTTAAAAGGAAGTAATTCAAAATGATAGGAAATCCCATTTAGCTGTATCCATATGCATGTATGGGGGAAGCAATATTTCTTTATTCTTTTTGAAATAGTTTTGTCAGTATATCTACCTAAAATTAGGCTTTGAAGAATGGAGACAAATTGAAAAATATTATACATCAGTTTTGAATGTTTGGTCATACAACAGCAGAGGTAGCCAATGTGGCACCATCATTTAGTGTCCCATCCTGTAGTCCAGGCATGGCCAAACTTGGCCCTCCAAATGTTTTGGGACTACAGTTCCCATCATCCCGGACCACTGGTCCTGTTAGCTAGGGATGATGGGAGTTGTAGTCCCAAAACAGCTGGAGGGCCAAGTTTGCCATGCTTGCTAGTCCTCACACACAGTGCTGTTTCCTTTTCTGCTGCAGTTTGTCTTCTACCGAAGCTACATTATTTGTCTTGCTGTCCAACAATGGCAAAATTTCGTGATTTAAGTAATTTACCTAATTAACTGTGTAAATTACATTGTCATTATGTTATAGTCCACCCAATTCATTTCAGTGCAACACAATTCAACTGGAGGAGATGGAATCATTTATGTATTATTTGCAGACTGAATATGGATTGTATTCGCTGGGATGATTTCCATTCTGGCCATGGGGCCAATAAGCAAACATTGGCAATTTCCACTCCTGTTTCCATCAGAATTCTCCAACATTCCTGGGCAGGGTGTGTGTGGGAGTGCAGGAGAAGAACCCATTGAACGGTGATAAGGAAAGGATTTGAATTATTTCCATTCTATCAGATGTAGTGGACAATATAAGAAAATGCAGTAAGATATAGATAGCATTGTGGTAGGTGTGATTTCATTTAGGTTGAATTGTAGAAACCCAATGGATTTAAGCATAACTAACTCTGTGCTGGATTTAGGTAATCACTTCCAGAAATCATTTTAATGAACTTAACTATCAATGCAATGGAGCCAATAAAAAACAAGACTTGTTATTCGCTTACACTGGAATCCTAAGCACACTTACTAGGGGAGTAAGTTTCCATTTGGCACAATGGGGCTTACTTCTGAGTTAAGTTGCTTAGGATTGTGCTGCAAATCTCTCACTGTCAAGGAGGGGGGAAGTGTTTCACAAAGTTTTATTTATTTGCAATACAATCACAAAACCACTTTAATTAAAAATGGCTTTTAGCAGCACCTCGTGAATTTGTTGACATTTCACCTTTTACAGTTATAACTTCCCATGCTAGGTTTCCATCCACAAGAGCTCTTGTTTACAAAAATGTGTGTATGGTACAAAAATCTCTTTTCTTCCCCTTGGTTTTAAATGTAGCTTTCTCCTTTGCTGAGAATCTCTCCAGGTATTATTTATTGTACTGAAAGAAAGAAAATGAAGGTGAATATATATTAAAAAAATGGAAATTTACCATATGGCCTGTCTTCAGTGAGGAAGTTACCCACAGAGAAAACCCTGAATAATTTGTCATCGTTTACTCAAAAGAATCAACATTGCAAAGCTGGACTGATAAACAGCATTTGCAGCGTTGATCAACAGCTAGGTGGAGGGAAAGGATAGGAAGCCCTCCCCTTCAGCCATTCCAGAAAATCACTCACCTGTCAGGAATAAAAGCATCACTGGACTCAATTCACATATAGTCTAATCCATGGGTAGACAAACTAAGGTCCAGGGGCTGGATCTGGCCCAATCGCCTTCTAAATCCAGCCCGCAGACGGTCTGGGAATCAGTGTGTTTTTACATTAGTAGAATGTGTCCTTTTATTTAAAATGCATCTCTGGGTTATTTGCGGGGCATAGGAATTCATTCATTCCCCCCCAAAAAATATAGTCCAGCCACCCACAAGGTCTGAGGGACAGTGGACTGGCCCCCTGCTGAAAAAGTTTGCTGACCCCTGGTCTAATCCCAATAGCCCCTCTCTGACAACAGTCCGTAGTGGATCCCACACTGCATGGGACCTGCTTCTCCGGCTATCATGTGGGTAGGGCCACCAGTCACATGGCTTTTCCCACCTGGTCCAAACTTTCCTGATGATTACCTTCACCCACATGCTTCCAGTGTTCTCATACACCCCACTGCCGCATAAGATGGAAACTACAAAATGGCTTCTTGCATGCACAAGTTTTTCAGGAGAAAACAATCAGCAGAAGAACACACTAAGAAGAGTCTATATGGATACAGCCTAAGAATCTTCCAGATCCACAGGAAACTGCCTTATACTGTCAGACCATTGATCCATCTACAGTAGCTCCGCATTTTCTGTACTGACTGGAAGTGGCTCTCCAGAGGTCTTTCTTAGCCCTACCTAGAGATACCAGGGGACTGAACCTTCTGCATGTAGATGTTCTGCCACCAAGCTTCCCCTTCCCCTTAAAGGGTCTTTCAAGTTGCCTCCCTTGTTGCTGGGATGCTGGAAAGCTATTCAGAGGTGGAATGTAGAATCATTTTGGTTGCAGAAAGTAAAGACTATCAGAAATAATTTTCACAGAACTCATAAATGTTCCATGTATATCTGAAGAGTGATCATCTTCACCTAGGTATTGTCACATCGGCAAAGTCAGAACCGATTAAACCATGCTTGCTTTATCATCATTGTCTCAGAATTTCACAGATTAAAGTGGAAACTAGTCTAATAGCACACATGAGCAAATGGATAAAAATTGATGTGCCTAATTGTTTTTGATGAACTGGGCCTGACAGTGGCCTGATAAACATGATGGTATTTTATGATTTTTAATCAGGTACTTAGCAAGTTCATTCCAGTTGTTTTTTAAAAGAAATGTTCTGACATTTAATCTATATGTTTCAGAAAGTTGTAGGCTCAGCCTTCCAGAGAAGGAAAATATACCACAGAAATCGCAGCCAGAGAGCTGGGTGTCTTTTCAGAAGAGATCTCTGAAATCAGAAGGTCCATGGTTTTCAGGCCTGTTTTGGTAACATTTTTAGAGTAGGGGTATGTCATTATGAAGTATTAGCACCACATCCAGTACTTACTTCTTTATTACAATTATACTGTGACTTTCAGACTGGCAGACCCCCCCAAGAGAGACAAAACACATAAATAATGTGAAATCATTTATTTAAATTTCATTTATAATTTTTTTTTGTAGACCTCTCACTCATATAAAACATCAAGAATATGCAGGTGCAATAACACATAGAAATACAGAAGAACCATAAGGAAGACTGGATCATCTGTGGTATCAAAAGGTGCTGAGAGATTGAATAAGAGTAACAGGGTTGTGCTCCCCCTGCCCCTTTCTCGATAAAGCTCTTCCATCAGCGTGACCAAGGCTCATTTAATCCTGAACCCAGTTTCACATGGATCCACATAATCAGTGTCACCCAGGAACACTTACATTGTTCATCACAAATTCATTGCAGTAGTTAAAACCTTAATTCTCCAAATGTCTCACCAAGATGCAAGTTTTGTCTAGCAGAGGACTTTTCTAGTGAATCCCAAAGGGCAGGGACCACTACTGAGAAAGCCCTGTTCCTCATGACTATAATCCATGCTAGGTTCAAATGGCCATAGAATGAAGAACAGAGACTTATGTATTATCCAAGAGGTGCAGGTGTGGGGTGGATGCAAACATATTTTTCCTCCTAGAATAAACTGGAGGGGGTGGGGGGCAGGAACAATTTTTTATGCTTTCAATTTGAAAATTGAGAAAAGTTGGCTCTGGATATCACCTACTGGCCAATGCCCATAGCATCATACAGACGCCATCCTTGCCTTCAATCCATGGAGCAGTTTTCCACTTTGGAGGAAATGGTTTCATGGGGTGTTTTTGATAAAGAGTGGACATATGATTGATGCAAAGCACAAGTGTTGCTTTTTCGAAAGGCAAACATTCTATTATATCTGTATGGGCAAGAGAAAGGCAGAAAGCTAATCCAGCATTCAATTTGCTGGAATTAAGATCCATAATGTAAGCTCAGGCGAACAGTGTGAGTGAAGTAGTTGCTGTGATTTGCTCTGAAAACCTGCAGCTGCACAAATGTTCATTTACAAGCCCTACAGTTTGCAGCGAAATGGATGGCATAATACAAGTCATCAAGAAACACATTCAGGGGAGTACGAGGGGGGGAAATGTGGCTGTGTCTCAACTTAATAAAAGGTAACTATTCCCTATATCTTAAGGCTACTTTTTTACCTTCCAGTTTCTTTCTAATTTGTCTGCAAACTTTGTAGTGAATGGTTACATTCTGCCTTGTCCCCAGATGAGGTCTCGAGAGGCATAAATACCTGCAAAATGGAACACTCTTCCTGAGGCTCAGTCGAGTAATAAGTGAAAGGTTTCCAAAATAAATCTGAGATGATGGTTGCCAAAAACGAAAATAATATTTTTGCTGAAAGTGGCACATTCCGGTATTTCAATCAAGTCAATCATACTTAAACAGAAATCCAGATAGGCAAAACTTCAGCAGCCTGGATACCAGATGTGATGGATGGTTTCATCAGGGCAAACCAGAGACTGATTAAAAGCTCTGCTTTTATTTTTAAAACTAGCCTTCTGGAGTTAGTAATCCCGGTTATGTAACTCTGTTCTTGGCACACACTAGGGCAGGTATCCTGGGCCCAGATGCTCATCAGCTTTTTGAATTGGTGCCCACCAACTCCTTCAATAATGTATTCTCTTTTGCTAACTCCATCTAACAATCTGGGCTTCTGTACATATAATGATAAAGGCTTGCTGTTGAAAAGCTTTTTGTGATCCTCTTGAAAAGCAATTGAAACATGCATGGCATCATTAGGCAGCATTCTTGGGCAGCTGTTAATCAGGGCTGGCCCATCCATGAGGCAAGGTGAAGCCTTGTGCCAATGTTAGCCCTGCCAGGGCTTTGCCTGCAACACCACCACAATGTGCCAATGTTAGCCCTGCCAGGGCTTTGCCTGCAACACCACCACAATGCTGTTGCTCACACCGCTGTGTCTGCCACACCATTGCCATGGTACCCACTGTGCCCTCAGTGTTGCTGCTGCTGCATAGTGGTAGCAGCATGGATGCAGGCGACGGTGCAGTTCTGGTGGTGAGGCTGGAGGCAGCATGGACATCACAGCGGGTGAAGGGAGGCAGTCTTGGTCTGGAGGGGGTGGCATTGTAGGGCAGTGATAGAATCAGGGCATTCTGTCTGCAGCAGCAAAATGACTCTGGCTGGTCCGGCTGCCAGTGCCCCAGGGCCCAATTGTCCCTCTGCAGGTGTCTGTCTGCCATGAAGTCACTTAAAACAAAGAAACAAACCTCCTTCTAGCTACACCGGAGTTGCCATACATCTGGAATTTTCCAGACATAGCTGGGATTTGGCCATTGGAAACATGGCAAGCCATGCCAGAAGTATACATTTTGGATTTTCACTTTTTGAAATATGGCAACCCTAAGCTACACACAGTGGCCTTTTTCTCATTGGACTTGATCTGGATTAAAGTTCTCAGTTGCTGCTCCTTTAGAATGTGATCAGATTTGACCCATGATCTTAAATGGATTCATAGCCATTGTCAGTGAGATTGTCCTGATTTGAATTGTACCCAACTGCTGTATGCTTGTGTTTGTGTATTTCCAAAACATCCAAAGCGCCATTCATCCAAATGGATCTCAGGGTGGTGTAAGACAACAAAATACAATGAATGCAGAGCATAATCCATTGTACGGTAATTAAAAGCCAAGGCAACAGCGAAAAACTAAAAGCAAACCACAGGAAAATGTAACCCCTGTAAAATGCCATCAGCAAACAAGGAAGGCTTACATCTGGCACCGAAATGATTGAAATGTCAGCATCAGCCAAACCTCCAGGGATGATGTTCCACAATTGGGGTGGCACAACAGAACTGAAAAATTAAAGATATGGAAATGCAAGTGTATTGTCTAGCTTGGTTCTGAACTAGTATTGCCACCGCATTTAGTGGAAGTGGATTCTGTTAGCTAATTATGTATTGTTCTTTTACGTGGCTTTTTCCAAACAGCATGTTTTCATACTTCTGCATTGTGCAAATTATGTCCACCTTTTGTCTGTCCTAAACCTACAATCAAGTTCACTGGTTGATCTGTACTGCAAAGATCTAGATGCCGATTGTTCCAGAAGAGCAGTGTTGGGGAAGAGGAGGCTGAGGATATTTACTTCCAGAAGAGAATAAAATCTAAGGTTAAGTGTGGGAAGCCGTTATATGAAGGAGGACATGTGTGATGGGTCCTTGGGCCTTTTTATGGAGAAGTGGTTACATAAGTCAAAATATAAGCATTTCAGGAGACAGCATATGATGGAACTTTAGAAGCCCCCAAATGAATGCTATGTGAATAATAGATCTAATCCCATCACTAATAACAACCCAGTAGATGGCAGATTTGACTGAATAGAGATATAGGGAGACAGTTCTCATGGAAACCAGGTGAACGACTTGCTAAGGAAATAGCTGAGGGGGACATTGGAGGAAATTGACTAGTAGTGACAGGTAGATGCTAATTAACAATCAAAACATAATTGAGATAAACAGCTGTTTTTTCATCACATGACTGCCACCGAGACAGGAGAAGTATGAAGATCAACCAGGATATGCAATCATTTCTTTGATGCTGGATTTTTTTTAAAAAAAATAAAAAACTCACAATAATATATTAATATAGCAAGCTCTGGAAAACATAAAAGGGATGAAGAACTGCACTGGAAGAGATGAGAGAGAGAGAGTCAAGTTGACAGGCTAGAGAAGACTGGATGCAGAGAAAACCAATTACACTGAACATTGAGGGAGGGACAAAAATATGGAAGTGAAAGGGAATGTGATTTTTTATTTATTTAAAAAATGGAATTGAGCCCGGGCAAATTAATTAGGTCCCTTCATGAGCCCCAGCCCAAACTGAAACATGTCTAAGCAACATTCAGTGCTGAGATCTAGACAGCTCAAACTCAACAATTTCATCATAAATTTAACTCGGCAGAATGTATGTTAAAGAAAACCCCTATAGGGAGCAGAGAGACAATATGCAAAATAGAAGTACAGATAAGGTCTAGCTTCAGACATCTGAGGACCAGCCATAGTTAGGGTTTCTACCTGTTTGTTTTCTGGCTCTGCTCCTCTGCAATTGACAGCAGATGTTAAGCCACTGAAGACATCATGTTAGTGCTCTTCATAATGTTAGTCCTCCTCATCCAATTCATGCTATTCAAACCAAGTTCAAGCCATGGCTGCAAAGAAAGAATCAGACCGATGGTCTGACTCGGAACAAGGCAGTTTCCTTTGTTCCTAAGAGGAATAACTTTTTAACCAGAGTTGAGATGTCCGAAGATGCTTCCATCTTAATAAAGATTACTTTACTGGAATGGGATGTTTACTTTCAAATGTTTCTTACAGGTGTGATGAAATATGTCCAGAGCAACTCTATAATTAATCAAGGTTTTGGCCTCTGTGATTAATGACGGTTTGGGGCCTATGATTAATGAAGATTTTGGATATGGGTCTGACAGTAGTTGAGAAGAATCAACCTATATGGAATACTTGACCAATGGAGAAATTTAACTAGGGAAAGAGGTTTTGGGGAAATGCAGTTGGACAAGTAGAACAATCTGGTTGAATTGTTAGGAGGGAAGGCGGGACAGTCAAACTTCAAAGGGATGAATGCCAGATAAGATTATCCAGACAGACTTCAAGACTCATCCAAACTTCTGAATGTCAGGCATCCCTATCTTCAGATTGAATAGGCAGCTTGACAGCAGAGTGACCTTAATAGGATCAGAGAATAAGCTACTGAGTGAGGTCAGCAGAGATGATCCAAGTTAAAATAGGATCTCAAAACTGTGGAGCAGAAAGGGAAGGACAGACGTTTGAGAGGGAAGACTGATCAGACAGTCAAGGTTTTGACATGGAATGAAAGGGAAGTGAATTCATTTTCAGGGTCTTCAAATGCTTTCTCCCTTTCACTCTGGAAAAATAAGGCACTCCCAGGTCTTTATTTGTGAAACAATAATGCGACCCTAGAAAGCTGCCTTGTGCTGAGCCATGCCGTTAATTCCTGAATTATCACAAGGATGCTATTTGTTCTATTTTCATCCGACCTTTCCTTCAAAAAGCTCTGTGTGGCATACAAAGTTTCCCCCTCTGTTTTTATCCACACAGCAGATAAAAATGTGGTAGTTTAAGCTTAGGTTTAAGCTTAGAGATGGTGACTAGCCCATGGTCCCACACAGAGTTTATGGCTGGGTAGGGATTTGAACTCAGGTCTCTTTCTGATGCTAATCACTATTCAATGCTGGATATCATTGTTCTAACAGATATATGTTTTGACACAAAAGTCAATGGAAAGCCATATGAACACATCACTGGAGACTTCAAAAGATCCATCCTACTTGCACTGTAACCTGGTTGATTTCTGGTAACCCTCTCTCCAAATCATTTTACAAATGTATAGTTTTTTCTCCACCCCACCATTTAAGACTGCGATCAAATTCATTCTTATTTGGGACTCAATAGAAAGGTACCAGGGTATATTTAAACCTGTTTTGATCCACAGCTGACCCTTCAACAGAAGAGTGAGATCTAAAAAGTATATGCAGCATTTAAGCCCTGGAGGATCACGCTTATTCAGGAATAAGATCTATTGAATTCACTGGAATTTTCTTCTGAGTAAGCATGTATGGAATTTGGCTGTATGTAGACTTACTTTGGGCATTCCAGACTATACCTTTGTTGAGATTTATTATTTTCTAAAATCCCTGCAAACAAACTTGTCAGCGGATATGTTCTCAGAAACAGTAAGTTATAATTCAGCAGGCATGTTCTGTTTAAGCTTTTAAACGCCTACTGAAAATTTCTCTATTTTGTCAGGCTTATGCAAGCACTTAAGAAACATCTTTCCACAACTGTTACCCAAATATATGGTTTTACGTACAGTTGTTGTGAACTGCAGACATTTCTGCATTGACTCATGTGTCTGTGGTATGCATTCATGTGTACAAACCTATGTGCAGTGGCAGGACTACACACAATCAGGACCTCTGAAAAAATCAGGGTCTCAGTCATATGGACCCTACCTGCCCACAAAGGATTGTATGTGTGAGCACACATCTCAGATGAGCATTGCAACAGATTGATGGGGCTGTCTGCACATTCATTGTGTTTGTGGAGAAAGACCTGAATAGGAAATAAGGTCCATAATCACCTTATTGTTCTATTTACAAGAAAGGAAGGCAGACTTCCTGGTTATACCTTCCCGCTTCGGTGTCGAATTAACTTAATTTTTCTCCTTTTAAATCCAATTTAATCCTACTCACGGGTAGTTGCTTTCAAAGTCCAATTGTCCCAGGAAAAAGTCAGCGCTCTCCGATAACGGCTGTGCGGCTTCACTCCGCGGAAGAAGCAGTCGACTCTCAGCACCACGCTGCTCACCCCGTCCCGCTCCGGAGCCCTTAAAAGGGTCCCTTCGCAACTTGGGGGGGCGCAAATGGTGCCCGCCGAGTCCCCACGTTCACAGGCTTCCCCCGCCTGTGATTTCTAAAGGGCCCCCACTTTGCCGCAGCGGTAAGACCCGATCCCGCGGAGCTGGTCCCTCCGAGACTCAGAGGGAATCCGCCATTAACGATGGCGCTGACCCGGAACCTTATTGTAATGTGGGTCTTCTGAAGTTGTGATGTGGACAATAACCTGATAGCTATCTCCAGAAATACACCCCTTCTCTCTCTCTTTCTCTCTGTTGTTTTGAATACCGAAACTGTTAAAATTCACAAACATCCTAATGCACAGAGGATGTCAGAAATTGGAAAAAGGGGGAGGAAAACAATTAGCAATTAATTATGTAACGTTTTGGTTCATAGGCAAAAACAAGAAAACTAACTTGAGATTGGAAATTTGTAACAAAGGGTTTGATATAAGAAATGAAGCCAAAAGTAACATAGTGTGGGAATTGCCTTTACCTTGCCTGAATCATTGAGTGATGATTAGCAGACAAATGAAGGACATCAGCCTCCAGGTACAACCTTGCTACATATCAAGATCTCACCTAGATTACTAATTAGAGGCCAAACCACTGTGTGCAAGCCAGCTCCTATGCAAGCCCAAGATGTGATCTGGAGCAATTCCTGACAAATTGCACATATAGCACGATGTGTTACGAAGGAAATCGTGCGTGCTGGCTACCTGCTGCATAGCGCAGGTGTAAGTGACGTGCATATGGGCATCAAAGTTTTGCATAGTTGCATCTTTATACTAAGAGATTCCCCACATGTGGGATATTAATCAAAACACCTCTTCTCTCTCCCCCCTCTCACAAAAATGCTGCACAGGCTTAGAGAGATATGGTCCCACATTTCAGATGTAAGCACAACCTCCCAGACTTTCACACTGGTTCTGTTAATGCCTACAAACCCAACTTCTGTGAGGAGGGAGATCCTAAGACAAGAATGGGAAACCTCTGGCCACCCAGAGTTTGTTGGACTCCCTCTCCCATCAGCCTCAGCCAATATGGACCAGCCTTCATGGCTCAGGTCACCCTGCAAATAGAGGACTCCCTCAGCATTGTATATTATATTATATTATATTATATTATATCATTATATTTCGAGCTGTCTTGGTTCAGTTCTGAGAGAGGTTAGACGTTAAAATAAGTTAATAACTCAGCTTCTCTCTGCAACAAAGACTGGCACAGTAGAAGGTGCAAAAATAATTTGAAGAGTTATAGAACTAGAAGATTGCATCCATGTTTGTCTGGCCATAATGCAGTTCTCTGCTTATGATTGAGTGGCATTTAAATACAGTTATAATTTCCCATTAGCAGTTTCAGTCCATAGATCTGCCATGGCTCCACAGTAGAATGCCACGTTTCCATAACTGAACTTGACAGCAAAACAGGCCATCTTGCAATTTATGAATGCTGAAATGGTGAAATCTTTTGTCAGGCAATGACTTGGTAATGACCCAGGATGCCCCTTCATGGTCAACGGCAAAGCTTTTCCAGCCATGCCCTGCAGTGCAGGTACCATGCATGGGTGGTGCAGTGGGGGGCAAGCGCCCACTCAAACAAGGAGCTCACCTCCCCACTTGCCCCCCCCAATTGCTGGACTCCTGTCCTTAACACATGCTGATATTTTTCTTTCAGACCCTTGAACAGATGGGATATAACTCATCTACCTAGAAATATACTGCATTTCTTCTGTGCTGCCCCTCATTTTTTCTGGTGTCATGAAAAGGCAGCAAGTTCTTATTTATTTTGTTTATTACTATTTCATTTATGCCGTCAAGGCTTGGGAGAGGAGCTTGCAGGAGGGAGATTTGCCTGGTATTCAATACTCTATATATGAAACTTGAAGAGGGAGTTCCATTTTCTCCTCTGCCTCAGGGCGGAAATTGCAGTGGGCCAGCCCTGAGAGGGGTGGGTGTTCACAAGGAACAACTACACAAGGCCAATGTGGCTCTGTCAAAGCCACCTCTCTGTCATTCATATTTGTAAGTGCTTATAAATATATGAGAGAATAAGTGTGTGTGTGTGTGTGTGAGAGAGAGAGAGAGAGAGAGAGAGAGAGAGAGAGAGAGAGAGAGAAGCCATCTTCTTAAACTGCTTCACAAGCAGTCCAGTTGTAGCTGTAATTTTCCAGGCCCCCGCCAAAAAAATCAAAATCAAAAGAGTGCTGATTTCAAGTTTATTCTTCCTACCAAAGGTCAGTTTATCAGGCAGTGTGTGCTTTAAAACAAACAGAAAATGCTGAGTTAGAGACTGTGGCTATGTTGTTCTCCAACAACGGAAATAAAATTAAGCCACAGGGGCAGGCAACAACACATTTCAGAAAAGAAGAATATTGTCTTGAGTGGTTTAGCGTTGCAGAAATATTTCATACTCCAGCTACACGTTGGCTGTGTTCCCAGACCTGCTACCTGTGGAAGATGGTAGTGCCAACACTTACATCTTGGATGGCATTTTCATCTCAAAGCCCTTTAGAAACACTGATTAATTCACAGTACAACCTTTTGTAGGCAGGCTAACTATGATAATATCCAGTCCATTGGTGAGAAGAGAGGCTTACAGCTCAACCCTATACATTTCTACGTAGATGTAAGCCCCAGAATTGCCGTCACAAGCTCTGTAAGGCTAAACTTGTAGACGATGAGCACCTTTCATGTGTTATTGCTAAAGCACAGCAACCATCCCAATGCTACATGACAAACAGCCTTCCACCAACTCCATCTAGCTCAGAATTGTCCTAGCTAATTTCACACAAGCTTCTCTCCCAGTCCTGCTTGGAAATGCCAGAGACTGAATCTGGGACCATGCAAAAGCTAGAGATGGGAAAATCCAGCAGTGTTGGTTTCTGTCCATTTCTCATTCTTCTCATCTTATATTCCGTTCTCCACATTTCCACACTGATTTGTGGTTTTTAAAAGTCCTCATGAAAGTTTATCAGCTAATTCTGCCTAATATACTGTTGCACATGCCCCTGTCTCCAAGCGGCAAGAGAACCCAGTGTTTCCAGAGCTTAGCCAGAGTTCAGTTTCCATGGAATGATGGTAAACAGACACTGTGGTGTCTTTAGGATATATGGCTTTATTTATACATATATACTGTCAGGGACCGTGCTGAGGAGGGCTGCACTGAGGAGGAATAGTAGGAGCCTCAATCTCCCCCTGCTCCTGATCAGGATCCTGAATATTCCCAGGAGCAGGAAGACAGTATAGATTTGGAACAGTGGTTTGCAGAGGGACATAGTTCAGAAAGCAGAAACTGGGAAGTGCTGGATGGGGAGCAGCTAGGAGGAGAAGCACTGGGAGAAAGAGAGTTAACAGCCTCACTTTCTCTGGAAAGCATTCATCTGCTCAGCCCAAGGTCAAGAAGAGCAGATAAGGAGACAGCACAGAAAGCACAGTTGTTACGAGATCAGGTTACAAGACGTGGGTGACTAGGGAGGAAGTGGGTAGAACCCTTAATTGGGAGCACCTTCATTCCTAGGAAATGGATTCTTTGTTCTCTCACTGTGGTCATTAAAGTTTCTAACGGGTAAGGAAGACTCCTTTTCCTTTGTTCTGCTTGTTGTTGTTTAGTCGTTTAGTCGTGTCCGACTCTTCGTGACCCCATGGACCAGAACATGCCAGGCACCCCTGTCCTCCACCGCCTCCCGCAGTTTGGTCAAACTCATGCTGGTAGCCTTGAGAACACCATCCAACCATCTCGTCCTCTGTCGTCCCCTTCTCCTTGTGCCCTCCATCTTTCCCAACATCAGGGTCTTTTCTAGGGAGTCTTCTCTTCTCATGAGGTGGCCAAAGTATTGGAGCCTCAGCTGTCTTTCCAGTGAGCACTCAGGGCTGATTTCCTTCAGAATGGAGAGGTTTGATCTTCTTGCAGTCCATGGGACTCTCAAGAGTCTGCTTATCTACTGCCAAAGGGGGGAGGAAGCCTATTCCCTGAAGCCTGACATTTACACACATGTAGGCTCAGGTGGGGGCAAGGCTCACAGCATTAACTCTGTAACACTGAAACTTCCACAAACCACCCCTTTGGGTTCAGCACAGAGCAAGATATGCCTCTGTGTCTCCAACTTTCAGCACCAGCCAAAACTCTCACATACAATTCTTCCAAACATGGTTCCCTGTGGCCTCTTGTTCTTCATCCCTAGTTCCCCGTGAAGAGGGATTGGTTGTTAAACCACTCTGAGATCTAGAGCTCAGTGAAGAGAATAGGGTCTTTCAACAACTTTCAGCAGCCTTTAGAAGCTACAGCTCCCATAATTCTTGGGGGGGAGGGTTATGATGCTGTGACTGTTTAAAGTGGTATCATAGTGCTTTGAATGTATGGTGCAAAAGTGGCCTTAGCCAAACTACTGACACTTCACATGGGTACATGGGTATGGGAATCATGGTGTGCTGCAGGTAGAATGTCGACCACAAAGGCACAGAGAGGATAAACAGCGTAGACAATGAATGCCATGCATCAGAATGTACAAGAGAGAAAATGGGGGCTGGTGTATGGGAGTGTGTGTGAAAGAGGAGAGGAGAGAGATGAAAGAACAAGATTAAGACCTTGGTCGTGCTCTAATAATGGGAAAATACAGCTGCTCTCCCCACCGCAAAATCTGAAGGCAGTTGTTACAGCTTACTATTTTGTCTAGCCCTGATAGAGCTACATGAGACCAAGAAGAAAGCCACAAGGGCTCCATTTCTGAGTGTTTGATTCTTCACACTTCTAGAGACTTCAGTTCACCGTGAGAGTTTGTTTTGAGGAGGGTGGGGTGTGTGGAGAAACCCCTTGCCCCTCCCGAAATTGACTTCTTCAAAACAGACGGCCAAATAAATCATTTCCTTGCAACTGCTGCATGCGTAAGTCAAGCAAGAGAGTGAAAGCAAAGCAATCAGTGACGCTATTCACAGAAGCCTGGGTAAAATAATGATAATAATTGTTAAAGAATTGCTGAGTAAAATCAGGGCTATCACTCGGGTGGCTACTTAGGCATCGTGAAGAAAACAGAGAGGACGCGATGTGTATAGGTGAAATTTGAGAAATAGCCTCATTTCAACAGAAGTGCAATGTGTCCAGGTGAACTGGGTGCCTTCTCAGCCTGTTGTCCAGGTGCAAATTGTTAACGGGCAGCTTCTGGGCCCTTCCTGCTCTCCCTTCTTGTGGTTCCTTATCTTTAAATTGATCTTTGACAAGACAGTCCTTGAGACAGAGGACAGTCCTTTATAAAGAAGAACATGTGGCCTCCCTAATTATCACATCATTTAACACTTTACTCAAGAAACATAATGGATATTTTAAAAAACCTAAACAAAACATGCAACCACCAAAAGACTGGAAGTTGTATCCTGCTTGTGAACACCAGCACAGAAATGGAGAAAAGCACACCTCAAAGATGCACTAGGTGCCCAATTTTATAAAGGGCCAAACCTTTCGTATGATGCTACTGAGTCTGTCTCATCAGAAGACAATCAAACAAGACTGGCTTGGCCAATCTGTCTCAGAATATGCCAGGAAGGAGGAGTGCATCCCCCACACCACCCTGTTCACCCGATGTACCTGCCCTGCTTCCAGTGTCTCCAGTTGATTTAAAGCAGAGTCTGTCGTGGCCAGCGGAAGGATGAGAATACGTGCTGCATACTCTTTATTGCTTTATTTACAGTTCAAAGCTGGTATATTACAGAAAGACATCTTGCCTCTGCATGAGCAGAAAAATGCATCCTCTCTCCTCAACAGCTTGGAGAGAATCACACAGTGTAAAAACAGGAAACCAGTGTACGTCACATCCAGTCTCCCTTTCCCGTGAGAAACCCAACAGTACCTCTGACTGTGGAATGCAAAACAATGTCTTGTGACTGCAGTTGCTGCTCAGTGAGGGAAATAGAAACCAACATCCTCCCCCTTTCTGTGAACATCACTGGGCAGCGTGTTCGTACAGTATCAGTACAAACCCAACTTCTGCACATAGGTACAGTGTTGATCCCTTGATACAATCTTGGACAATACATCAGCAGGAATTTCATTACCTGGCATATAGGACACCGTTACGAGTCCCTTCTGAATACATTCCCTAGCATGCTGCAACTTTAATTGCAAGTGCTTTGTGCTTTGCTTACAACCTTCAGACTTGAGCAAAGCCAAACATGCTTTGTTGTCCTGGTAAACCTGGATTGGACATTTGACAGGAATTTTCATATCTTTGCACAATTGTACTAACCATTCACAATCCTTAAGTGAATAAGACAGTGCATTCAGTTCAGCTTCACAAGTACTTAAGCTAACTGTTGTTTGCTTCTTGCATGACCAATCAAACAGACTCTGATTGTACATGTAGCAAACTCCAGACGTACTTTTCCTGTCTGTAGTGTCACTTCCAAAACTTGCATCTGCAAATATCTCAAGACCACCAGACTTCTGATTGTTAAATCTCAGTCTGTAATGCATAGTGCCTTTCAAATACCGCGCTATGCGTTTCAGAGCTTTCAATCCTTGACACTAGGATTGTTGACTTGTCTGCTTAGCAAATTACAGCTAACAGCAATGTCTGGTCTTGAACATCTGGCAATGAAGTTTAGCTTGCCTAGCACACTCCTGTACAGTGTAGTGTCAGAAAATGCTTCTTCAGTGTCATCTACCTGATAACCTGTTGTCATCGGTGTGTCTACAGGGTTAGCATCCATCAGATTTAGTTTGCTTAACACATCAGCAATTTTCCGTGACTGGTGTACTAGAATGTTACCATCTTGATCTCTCTCTATTTCCAGAGATAGGTAGTTGTTTACCTCACCAAGATCTTTCATGTCAAAGTGCTCTTTCAGTTGAGCTAGGGCGTTATTGTACATTGCGACATCTTTCCAAAAGAATAATAAATCATCAATATAAAACAAACAGTACAGTTTCTTTTGCCCCTCCTCTTTGACAAATACACATGGATCAGCTTTCCCTTGCTGAAAACCTAGAGAAAACAATACTTCAGTGAGTTTTGTGTGCCAACACCGTGCACTTTGTTTGAGACCATAAAGGGATTTCTTCAGAGCACAAACAAATCCCTGTTTTACCTGTACGCCATCAGGTGGAAGCATATAAAGTGATTCATTTAGAGATCCGTACAGAAAAGCTGTATTAATATCATGGTGACTAATGTGTAGATTTTCTTCTGCAGCTAGCTTAAGCATAAGCCTAATGCTTTCATATCTCACTGTGGGTGAATAGGTCTCGTGATAGTCTTCACCTGGTACCTGTGCAAAACCTCTGGCTACCAATCTGGCTTTGTGTCTGACTATCTTGCCATTTTGATCTGTCTTCGCTTTGAAGACCCATTTGCTTCCAAGCAGTTTCATTCCTGGAACTACTGGAACTAGCTCCCATGTTTTGTTCCTTTCTAAGGAATCAAGCTCAGCCTTCATGGCATTTAACCATGGCTCAGCTTCCTTTGAATCCAAACCCTGGATTTCTTGGAAACTTGAAGGTTCAAATACCTTCTTGGAGCTTTTAACAGCTGTTACTGCTATCGTAGCAAACTCATCAGCAAATCTCTTTGGAGGTTTGCTTTTGTGGCTCTCTGTGACCTACGAATTAGCCTTAAGTCTTCAACACTCTCCTCTTCCTTCTTAGGAGAAAAACGACCTATTGTGAACAATGGTTCCTCCAATTCTTGATCAGAGCTTTCAGAGGGTCGCATAGAGGCTTTCGCACTCTCGAAATCCTCTGAATCACCCGATTCAGTTTCAGATTCAGACTCAGAACCTTCATCAGTGGGTGTGGGCTGTTGTGGTTGCTTTTGACTATCCTCAGTCTCATCACCGTCATCAGGATAACATTGGAAAATTCCCACATTCTCCCCCCACTTTGCATTGTACTCAACACTTCTCGTGAGCTTAATTGTCTTGGAGTCAGTCATCATTATTCTGTAAGACCCTTTCTGATAACCTAGAAAGATACCATGCAATCCACGCTTGTCTAACTTGGAGTTTTGTGGTGAGCGAACCCACATGTCAGAACCAAAAATCTTCATGTGTCTGATGTATGGCTTCTTGCCAAACATCTTCTCATAGGGGGTACACCCAATCGCTGAAGATAATCTGCGATTGTAACTGTAAACAAAACACGAGAGAGATTCGGCCCAATAACTCTCTGGAAGATTGGCATCATGCAGCAAGGTCTTTAACCCTTGAAGCAATGTCTGATTTGCCCGTTCCGCAAGTCCATTCTGCCATGGCGAGCGAGGACTAGACAAATCGTGTTGAATTCCTTTCTCAGTCAGAAATGCTTCAAACTGCTGAGAAGTGAATTCCCCCCCGCGATCACTGAAAAGAGTCTTTATCTTCTTACCATGCACATTTTCCAACCAAGCACAGAATTCCTTGAACCTAGGAAAAGCCTCCGATTTCTGCTTGAGATTGTACACAAAAATATATCTAGAATATGCATCAATGAGAACCATGAAGTATCTATTTCCACCTAAAGAGGGCGGTAGTGGTCCAACCAAATCAGCATGAACAACCTGGTATGGTTCTGTAGCTTGCCTACTAGACACCTTACCTTTCGCAGCCATTTTCACCTTGTTTGCTGCGCATGCTTTGCACTTCATGTGGTACCTGCAGGGTTTAATAGTCATACCTTCAACCAAGGCAGGCATTTTAGATACTGCCTCAAAATTCAAATGACCAAATTTGCGATGAAAATCGTGAATACATTCTGCATGCAAACTTTTGTTAGAACCTGCAATGCAACAAGTGTCATCCTGCACCACATCATCATAATACAAAACAAACAAATGATCAACATATTCTGCATGCAATACATAATCATTTTTCTTTGTGATGATGCACTTCTTGTTCTTGAAGGAAACGTCAATGTTCCGCTCATTCAGCTGTCCAACGCTGAGCAGATTATGTTTGGCGTCTGGCACGTAAAGCACATTCTGTATCGATAAGTCCAAACTGTGAAGAACAACAGTTCCGTAGCCTTTACTGGGAATAGTGTGGTCATCCGCCTGGTGAATCGCACCTTCCTGCGGTGTAAAAGACACAAACAGTTTCTTATCGTTGCACATGTGGTGGGTCGCCGCTGAATCAACAACGAAGAAAGATCTAGACGTCTTCTGGACCTCTGCAACCTTTGGAGTGAAGCGTGAAACCAAAGCCTTGTGCTGCGTTGTCCTTGACACCGGACCCTTGCCTTTGCCTCGGCCTTTTCCGCGCGATGAGCTTTCGCTGCGCTGCTCTGTCTTGGCCCTGGGATGTCTGCATTCCCTCTTCATATGGCCTAGACGTCCACACGAGTAGCATTTGACTGCCTTCAAAGCTTTGGCGCCATCTGGTGGTTCCACTGCACTATGGGATGACGTCTGTGAAGACTCTCCCTTGCCCATGCAGCTAGCACCCCGGCGATCTGCTTCATTTAAAATCACGGCAGTAACAAAGTCCACTGTCAGCTGAGCAGTTGGTTGCACAGCAATCTGGGTTGCAACAGACTCCCAACCTGAACCCAAAGATTGTAGTATCATGAAAGAATACACAGCCTCTGGAAAGTTGAGTCCTCTCTGTTGCAGCTCATGTCTCAGATTTTGCATCTCCATTAGATGTAAACGCACATCTCCACCTTCAGCAAGAGCCATATTATGCAGCTTGTTAAAATAATACATAGTGGATCCAGCTTCTGTCCTTAAGTGAGCCTCTTTCAGAGCGTCCCAAATTTCTCTGGCTGAGGTCTTATCACGCAATAGACAGAGCTCTTCTGGGGATACTATCAATGTAAGAGTTCCCCTTGCTTTGGAATCCTTAGCTTCCCATGCATCTGTAACTGGAACTGGGGGGGTTGCTGTAATCACCTCAAACAAACCCTCTTTCCGCAGAATTGCCTCTGCATACTGAACCCAGTCGCTGTAATTTTTCTTGTTGAGCTTAGGAATCCCACAAGCATCCTGAAGGGCCATCATGACTCTGGCATTAGCCTTCAGCGTCATATGCTGCTTTAAATCTTGCTGCGTCACTGCTGCAGCTGCCTCATTACAAAGGCACACTTAAAAGTTACTTTCGATTTCCCCAGCATAGTGACTTGTGCCTGGGAGCCTTTTGCCTATTCCCGGCAAAACCGGCTTTAAAAGTTCAAAGTCCAGCCATAAAGCCATTAACTTGAAGCTGGCAGGCTGCCCGGAGCAGTAGCACATACCTCATCAATCACTTCTACGCGCAGAGCAGATTCCTTTCCGATCCGTCCCTCTGCATTCCGATCCTTTGCCGGCACTCCGATTCGACTCCTGGGCCCATAACCACGTGTTGATTTAAAGCAGAGTCTGTCGTGGCCAGCGGAAGGATGAGAATACGTGCTGCATACTCTTTATTGCTTTATTTACAGTTCAAAGCTGGTATATTACAGAAAGACATCTTGCCTCTGCAGGAGCAGAAAAAAGCATCCTCTCTCCTCAACAGCTTGGAGAGAAACACACAGTGTAAAAACAGGAAACCAGTGTACGTCACATCCAGTCTCCCTTTCCCGTGAGAAACCCAACAGTACCTCTGACTGTGGAATGCAAAACAATGTCTTGTGACTGCAGTTGCTGCTCAGTGAGGGAAATAGAAACCAACAGTCTGTACAAGGGTGTAACATTCAAATATGCAGGAGCAGCCAATCAGGCTCCTGGATGAAGTGAATCAGCAACCTGATTGGCCTGCAGGAGCAGCCCAGAATTAGCCAATCACACGGGGCCCATTGTGTAAATAATGTATATATAGCTAGATGTTTTGGGGAAAGTTTCATTCATTGCCACTATGAGCTGAATAAAGAGCATGAAATTCACACTTGACTGAGTATATTTCATCTGTGTAAGTGAGCACGTGTGTATGTGTGTGTGTAGACTGGGAGAGGTTATTGGAAAGGATGTCTAGGTAGCTGCTGTTACATTTATATCCCACCTTTCCTCCAAGGAATTCAAGGTGGTGTACGCGATTCTCCTCCTCCTCATTTTATCCTCACAACAACCCTGTGAGGTAGGCTAGAATGAGAATTGGCGTCTGGCCCAAGGTGAGCTTCATGGCACGAGTGGTGATTTGAACTTGGTTCTCCCAAGTCCCAGTCCAGAGCTCTAACCATTATACCACACTGGTTCTCTCCGTTCGTTCTTTTACTGGCTCACTTTTAATCGATGAATAACTGTCCTATTTCATTTTAATCTCCTTTCTGCAGCAAATGTTCTGCAGTGGGCAGGCTGGGGAGGGAGGAAGCTTCAGTGCATTGTCATTGCCTTGCAGTTTTGTTCCCTTCCGTTAATTTTCAAATAGGTCCTACAGTGTTGCAATATTGCTAACTGTGGTTTTGCTTATGTCTCTCGTTTCTGCAGATTCTCTTATTACCATGTGGCAGGGCACCCCATAGGCCTGATAAATAAATAATACAACACCGAGAGCAGGAACACAACTCACAAAAACACATTATTAAAAAAAATAAAATTAAGAAATATCTCCCCCCCTCTTACCTAAATAGAGATTGATTTTATAATTTGAAACGCTGAGGAGTACTTCGTGGTGATATATTGGGACTTTGGGACAAGGAGAATACAAAGTAATGGACATTTTTTGCTCTTGAGACTGGGAGCGGGGAGGGGTATCTCTCAGTGAATAGATGGCATTTCCCAAACAGAAGTAAGAATCTGTCAGTTCACTGGCCAGGTATAATGCACTCCTTGCTTTGTCATGTTGCTTTCCAGGGGGGTGGGAATATTGAAGGCTACCCCTGTATTCCCCTAGCATACACTGTTTTCCATTTCAAGTGGGAGTCATAGTTCAATGGCAGAGCATGTGCTTTGCATGCAGAAGGTCTCATGTCCAACCCCTGGTATCTCCAGGTAGGAACTTTTCCCTTCCTCCCACACAACCCCCAAATCTCTTCTGCCTCCCAACCCTCCAGAGCAGCTGTGGGGGTGGTGCAGGGTGAGGAGAAGGGGAAGTTCCACTGGGCAAGTGCAAATCCTTGCGCTGGTGGAACAGGTTTGTTGGATACCACCTACAGAATTGAGGGTGGTGGTCCAATGCCAAGATGAAGGTCTTCCAGGCTCATTTGATGAGCACACTGCTTTATGGAAGAGAGTCATGAACAACTTGCAGCCACCTGCAGAGATGCCTCTATGCCTTCCACACGCGCTGCATCAGGAAGCTTTGGGGCATTGCATGGCAGGACAGAGTCTCAAATGAAGATGTGCTCTTTCAAGCCCATGTTCTCAATCCCAAAGCAATTCATTAATCAATTGAAAGGTAGATGATGATGATGCTACTAAAGATCTTGAACTGGTTGATGACCCTAATACACATACACATTTTGAAAACAAGTCTCATGTAAATCACATTGCGTGGCCAGGCGGAGACCCCAGGAGACCCCCGGCAGGAATAATGACTCATGACAACGTGTTATGGGATTAAAATTGGCCACAACTTTATTAAACTTTTAGATGTATGGAGACCTTGGCTTAGGCATTGGGCGTTTATCCCTCCCAGTCCCCAGCTGGGGATCTGGGCAACATCAGGGTTATCCAAACTGTGTGGGGATTGGGTTGGCTCTGGAAAACGTATGTTTAAGCAGAGAGCTCGCCCCCGCAACGCAGGGGAGAGCACTGACAACCTAACAGCGTACGGCCAGTGACTCCCCTCAAAACAACCCCTTTAACAGGGAACCCTGGGATCGCCGCTGCAGGGGGGCGTGGGTCACCGTTTTGCGCCCCCCCCATTTAGGGAAGATAGACTAAAGGATTCCACCCAAGGCCAGTGAAACCGCCCAAGTTGTGATGTTTTGCTACGGGGAAGGCAAAACCTGCCAATGCAGGGAAATTCCTTCCCGGTCCTTCAACAGCAACATCAATGACCGTAGCAGCACCCACATACCTGTAAGGAAAAGGTTAGCCTGCAAAAGGAAGGCATAAACTGAGGGAGGGCAGGGTGGGAGAAGCTCTGGAGCCGACTGAGGACTGTCAGATAAGTTCCACCCTCTATTGTGTGTGCAGGGCAGTCACTCCTCATGCAACACCTCCCCAGCTGGGATTGGTTAACTGTCTGAGCTTAGGCGGGAACCTCCAGGTATCCAGCTTGGGGAGGCGAAGCCAGCCTGACTAGCCGGGGATCGTGTAGGGCTGTGCACGACCACACAAAAAGCACCCCCCATTTGAAGTGGGGAGCGGTCATTCAAGAATTCTTCAGCAAATGTATTTTTTAAAATCCTGAAATCACCTCATTCACTTTCTTAATCCTCCGATCCTAAACATTGTTTCCTCAGGATTAGTCCTGTTTTGTCTAAAGCTGTCGCTGCATGCACATTTACTTGGAACTTGCAGCACAATCCTTTAAATGCCTTTTCAGAAGTAAGCCCCATGGGCTTCATCACGACTTTCTTCCAGATAAGTGGGTATAACTAAGCAGTAAGCATCATGAGCCTTACTTCTGAAATCCAGGCTGCAAATAAATATTTTTTGCATTCAGGTATAAAGAAGAGTAGGCTAATAATAATGATACTGGGATGATTGTTGCTGAACAGGTTAAGCCGATGTTTACTATCATTTTCCAGCGAATTAAAAGCTGCCTTTTGATTTCTGCCTTGTCTTACAGGGATGTCTAGGGCTTAATTTAGGTCAGATGTCAAAATCAGGATATTCCATAGTCTGTCAGTATGATTTTGCATTATTCAGCATGTTACAGAAATGTATTGAGCAGGTTGTTGGCATTTTCGGGAATAAGAGCAGTGCTTTTGTTCCATCCTCATAAATAGAAACCCACAGGGGAAGTCCTAGCTACCCTCAGTTAAATGTATCTAATGTCTGTTGCTCATTCTCTGCCCATATCCAGACTCATTGTGTTCTGACCCAGTGGAGGTCATGCAAGGAACATGCAGCTAATATCTGTTCCTCTCAGAGGACCAAATTACCAAGGTCATACAAGCCATGAAAACCTCTCTCTGTGCTTAAGTCCAATTCCCCAACCCCCACAGAATGTGGGCCACTGAAGGAAGCCAGTTCTTGATGGAAAGAAGACTTACAGCTTAAAACAGGGGTGGGGCTCACGGGTCAAATGTCTCTCTGCTGGCTCCTGGGACTCACCCCAGGCCACGCCCCCTTCCCAAGCCACACCCCTTACTGACCCTGTTTCACAACTTCCTTGAATGTTTCTACCTGACTGGAAAGTGTCCTGTAATTCTGATAGTGCCTCTTGCTTGCCTGGAAAGAGGATAGAGAGAGGTCTGTGAGCATGTGTAGAAACCTACGAGGAAACATTTGGGGTTTTTAAATTTAGAGACAAGCCAAGCAAGAGACAACATGATAGAAGTGTATACAATAATGCATGGTATGGACACAGCCATTAGAGGAAAGTTTTTCTCCCTCTCTCATGACACACTAGGACTCATGGGGATCCAATGCAACTGAATGCTGGAAGATTCGTAGAACCATGGAATTGTAGAGTTGGAAAAGACCCCTTGGGTCATCTAGTTCAAACTCCTGCAATGCAGGAATCTCATAAAGCATCCATGACAGAGGGCCATCCAACCTCTGCTTAAAAACCTCCAAGGAAGGAGAGTCCACAACCTCCCAAGAGAGCCAGTGTGGTGTAGTGGTTAAGAGCGGTAGACTCGTAATCTGGTGAACTGGGTTCGCGTCTCCGCCCCTCCACATGCAGCTGCTGGGTGACCTTGGGCTAGTCACACTTCTTTGAAGTCTCTCAGCCTCACTCACCTCACAGAGTGTTTGTTGTGGGGGAGGAAGGGAAAGGAGAATGTTAGCCGTTTTGAGACTCCTTCGGATAGTGATAAAGTGGGATATCAAATCCAAACTACTACTACTACTACTACTACTACTCTTCTTCTTCTTCTTCTTCTTCTTCTTCTTCTTCTTCTTCTTCTCCTCCTCCTCCTCCTCCTCCTCCTCCTCCCAAGGGAGATTGTCCCACTGTTGAACAGCTCTTACCATCGGAAAGTTATTCCTGATGTTTACTCAGAATCTCCTTTCATGTCATTTGAAGCCAGGATTGATTCAGGATAATCAAACTGTGGGAGTCAGCGGCCAGCAACTTGGATGGCTCTAAAAGAGGATTAGGCAAATTCACAGAGGATCGAGTTATCAATGGCTACCGATCCTAATGGCTGTTTCCTACATCCATTGTCAGAGGCAGTGATGCTTCTGAATAGCCGTGGCTGGAAACTGCTGGAGGGAAGAGTAATGTTGCACTCAGGTCCTGCTTGTGGACTTCCCATAGGCAGTGGCGTCACAAGGGGGTGGGGGCAGTGCACCCCGGAGTCCCATGTCTGGGGGGGTAACAAGAAGGCACCCCATGGGGTGCTTGCCCCAACACCCCCGGGTGCGGTGGTGCGAGCAGCCATCTCACTGCCGCAACTGCATGTGGAGAATCCTCCGTTTGCGGCTGCAGTCTTGAGCAAAGGATCCCGCCACTGTCCATACAGTGTTTGAGCAGCGCTGGTGGCAAACTGCTACATACAACGCATGCGCTGTACGTAGTGACATCACACTTGCGCTGTACATAGCGTTTTGCCACTGGCGCTGCTTGAATGCTGTACAGACGGCAGTGGGATCCCTCCATCACCACTACAGCTGCAAGCGAAGGATTCCTCTGCCGCCGCCGTGAGCAGAGGATCCCGCCACTGTCCATATAGCGCTTGGGCAGCGCTGGCTGCAAACCACTATGTGCAACGCATGCGCGGTGTTGCATGCATGCGCTGTACGTAGCGATGCCACACATGCACCCTATGTAGCAATGCCACGCATGCGTCATACGTAATTACACCACACATGCGTCATACGTAGCATCACAACACATGCGCAGCAGGCAGTTTGCCCCACCACGGGTGTCAGTTAGCCTTTCTTCGCCCCTGCCCATAGGCGCCTGACTGGCCACTGTGAGAAGAGGATGGTGGACTAGAAGGGCCACTGGTCTGAGGCAGCAGGCTCTTCTTCTGTTCTTCAAAGAGGAAACTGTCCTCTGACAGCCTTTCAAATAGAGGACCCATGTCCACCCAAGTCCCACTGTTCAGAATTACTTTGGGTCTTTAGCTTAGCCTATGACAATACTGAAGTGGATAGCAAAGCGTAACGCCTTACAGTCACTCTAACATGATGTGAACTTGTCTCACTGGGTCTTCATCCTCTTGTCATCCCACAAAGAAATCTTAAGCCATCAGAATGTGAAAGAATGGCCACTAGTTATGTTTCTGATGCTGCAGAAAAGAACAGAAGGAAATGGATTGCTCTCTGACGTGAATATCAACTAGATAAAATATCCGAAGGGTATTTATTCAGCAGATGAATTAAATTTTGAGGCTTCAGAAATAAACATCAGTGGAAGTTTTATACACACACACAAATCCTCGGGTGTGTTTTCTTTTACCAGATTGTTATTTACTGACTTGCTCTTCCCTCCAAAAAGTAGAGATGCCATTTGGCATGTTGATGGGGACACATGAGGTTATGCTTAATGCACTGCTTTGAATGAAAATAACTTGTTGTCTATTATAAAATGCTCAATTAGGAAAATAATGCTGTAAATTTTCCAGAGCAGCAAGGGCATTTTGCGTCTCACACCCAACCCACTATTTATCTCCAACTTTAAAGTTATCTTGGAAGTCCCACCCAAAATTGCAAGAGCAATTTTGGTGCAGAGCCAGAACAACTGAGCTCAGAAACAATTATATTTCCAAGCAGACAGTGATATAATTATGATAAATATGATGTCTCCTGTACTAACCTGCCCATTCCCATCCAGTAGAGGATAGCAGGCTGGGGCACAGTTGCCTACCTGACCTCCCAGCAGGTGATTTGTTGCTGCTTACTGAGAGGGAAAGGGGTGAGGCAACAGTAAGGTCAGCATGGTGCAAACAACACTGGAAAGAGCAGTGAATTAGCTCTACTAATGTGTTTGTACCACATTGAACTCATTGACACCTCTACCTGCAGCTGCAACTCACCTGCCAGGATGTCAGATGAGTGCTTCTGCCCCATCACTGTTTGCATCATCATCCAAGGCCCTGTCTCAGCTTTCATAGGCTAGGAAGGTGGCAACCAGGGGCAGAGCCTTTTCTGTGTTAGCATCATATCTTTGGGACACCCTACCTCTCCACTAGGGTAGCCAGATGAAATAAAGGACAGGACTTACTGACCTTTAGTAATTCTATAGAAGAGGGAGTTCAGTGACACCTGTCGGCATCCCATCTTCTGTGCAACTATTTGAGCTACACAAGCCCCCCCCCCCCCCCGGCCATCCTACTCCTCACAAATGTCTGCTTGGCACCTACATGTTCATCATTTAGGCTCAAATGGAAGGTCAAATTATTTTTCTGGGCTTGTGCTGAAATTGAAGTGTGACTTTTTGCTAATTCTGCTACTGCAGCATTTTTAAAATGTCATTTCTGGCGTTGTTCTGCTTTGTAAGTAGCTTCTTTTTATTACGGTTTTATCATGATTTCCTTTGAACTCCTATATTGTAGTTGACTACGCATGATGGAAAAGTGGGATAAAGTGTTCAGTATGAAGAGATTAATAAATATTGTCTGCCCAAGGTTGTGTGCTGTACTACCCTGCCTGAGCTGCAGCAAGAAACTAGTTGAAAGGTGCTGAAATGCTTACCTCCTAGTATACTTTTAACTCTCTCTTTCTGTAGACCCTGAATGTTTCCATGTATGAAGTGTTGGGAAGTCACAGTTACATTGCTTAACCCCAGATGATGTCACAAACACTGTCCAATACGACCAAAGCGCATTTGTTGCATGGGAAAAGCAATTGCCCAGAAATATCTTTCCCACACAGTGCAGCAGTCACATTTCAAAGGATGAGGTTAAGGTCTGTTTTCGAGGGTGAAATCCTGGGGAGTAATTCCTTTTGGCCTCAGTGGGATTCTGAGAAAGCATGCCCACAACTGGGCTGTGTGATAAGCATCACAATATTTGTAGGCGGGAGATGTCAGGGAACAAATCTGGGAAATGCACAAGAGATCGAGAAGATAATGCTCAGAAGAATGTAAGGAAAGCAATTAAAAGAATTCTGGAGGTTGTTTTCTGGTAACTGCTTAAATGCCAAAGGTTTAATTAAGCACTTGCATTTTTTTCTTTTAATTTTAATGACTTAATTAATTTGTATAAAGTCAGCACTGTTGGACCTGAAGCTGGGGATGCCATTTATTATTTACCTTATTCAGTAGGGACTCCACCAGATTGTGGTGAACAGGCTTACAATTATATCAGCGTAAATTGATATCAATCTGTTTGTACAAAAGGCCAAATAGGGATGTAATGTCAGATGGTTAGACTCTCTTAAACTTGATGGAGTTACACTTGCTCATGTCACCCCTTGCATCTGTCCATCAAGCCTTACCTTCAAAGGGTGCATCGAAATCTATTTAGTTAATCAGGTTAACCTTTTATCTGGACACACGGCCATGTGCGTATGTGTTCGTGCATAGGGAGAATCTACAAATTACTCTAGGCAAGGTACATTCTTTGGATTTCTCTTGGGATGTGACATGAAATATTCCACAAAGCAGTTTGATGCAGCAATTAAAAACAAGGGAATGAATTACACTAACAACTGTCAAGAAGGGAAAATTAATTCCCTCCTAACTATGCTGCCACTGTACTTAGAGTACCCTAGGTGATTACAAGCTGATTGCAACTGGAGTATTGCCAAACAAGTGCAGGCAGAAGCAGGTAAAGCCAAACAATGCCATGATCAGAGAGACAAGAGAGAGAGAGAGAGAGATCTGATTCTGCCATCTTGAGTTTCTGTGACATGTTTCAGAGAATTTAATGGAGTTCAGCACCTCTTTCGCTCTCTCATGTCCTGGCTACTTCTCACGGTCAGTGTGCTATCTTCATCTTCCTGCACCTACCTAGAAATACTACAAAAAGAAGAAGATGGAGACATGCGTTCAGTCTGAAACAAATTTTAAACGGAACAGAACAGAGCCAGTTTGTTTTTTATTTTTCATTAGTTCATTCATTTTGAAATGAATGCAGAGCTGATGAATGGGTACAAACATTTGCTGTGCTTCTCATTTCACAGTGGGGAACCTGTGGCCCTTCGAATGGTGTTGGACTCCTCTTGCTCATAGCCAACATGGTCAGGGGTGATGGTTTTTGAAGCCATTCACAGAATCCCCATCTTTGCCATTCAATCGGGAGCAGGGAGCCATTTCAGCCTGAGGGCAGCATTCAAGTCTAAGCAAGCTTCTGGGGGCACATGCCAGTGGCAGGTGGGGACCGAGGCAAACGTGGGCAGAGCAACAAACCTTTGTCCCGTAGGCTAATTTCTACGCACACTCTCACACAACCTTCTCTGTCCTCCATCCAGGCAAGCAAAAGGCATGGTCAGAGTTCAACACCTCCCAGTCAGGCAAAAATGCTTGAGGAAGATGCAAGGCAGGCCAGTGAGGGGCATGGCATGAGAAGATGGGGCTTGGCTGGCAAGGGTTGGTGGTGTGGGGAGAGTCCCAAGGACCAGGTGGAGAGGCCTCCATTTCCCTAGACACAGCCTTAAGTGGTGTGAATTCTGGACACCTGTGAGGTACCTCTGACCCTCCAGATGTTGCTGAACGACAACTCCCATCAGCTCCAGAAACAAGACCAATGGCCAGAGATGATGAGAGTTGCAGTGCAGCAACATCTGGAGAACCATATTCCCGAATTCTGCTTTTTGGTCTTACTCCAACAATGGCAGTGCTTAATTTGGCAGGAGCCAAATTCTGTCAGTTGTCATTCTTTGTGGCGACCACCACTGCCCTCCCAATGGCCAAATATGCCCCAGAACGATGCAACTTCTCTTGTGGGAATGGGGTGGGGGAATGGCAACAGCCTGCCACCAAATTCAGTTCTGCTGCCACTGCCAAAGCCACAAAAAGAGAGAAGAGAGTCGTGTCCACTGTAGAGAAAACAGCACATGCTTGACAGTTTATTTCTGTTCGTGGACACAATCCATCGAAACATTCCGATGAGAATGGACAGATCCTATTGCTTCCAAAGGTGCTGTATTTGCATTTGCCCCTCCCCCCAGTGAACTACCGGTATCTAATCCTGAATCTGCTTTGGCATCAGTTGCATTTCCCATTGGAAACACACCTGGGGGGCACATGCAGCCCCCAAAATGAGACAAACCTCTCCGGGCATCTTCCTTATGAAGCACAGCTCAGGACATCCATAAATCTTCGTTCCCAGCACGCATCCAGCGACACATATCGGAAGACTATGTGCACACTCACTCAGCAGAGTTTATCAGAAATGAAGGGGAGCGTTGGTGTGTGCATTTTAAGTATTTCTTAAGCAATATATACAGCACAAAGCAATCATGGCGTCTCTCCTCCTTCTTCTCCAAGAGAGATAGAGAGAGAAAGTACAACACTACAATAGAGCGGAAGAAAGAAGACTATCTTCCGTTCTCACACTTTCCAAGCCTAGAAAGCCAGTGTGGTGTAGTAGTTCAGAGCGGTAGACTCGTAATCTGGGGAACCGGGTTCGCGTCTCTGCTCCCCCACATGCAGCTGCTGGGTGGCCTTGGGCTAGTCACACTTCTCTGAAGTCTCTCAGCCTCACTCACTTCACAGAGTGTTTGTTGTGGGGGAGGAAGGGAAAGGAGAATGTTAGCCGCTTTGAGACTCCTTCGGGTAGTGATACAGTGGGATATCAAATCCAAACTCTTCTTCTCTTCTAGAAAGTAAACACAGACATGTGATGTAACAATCACACATCCAGCAACGGAGGAATGAAATGCTAACAAAGACGTGTCCATGGAACAACTCAGGTGGATTGTGTCCACTGTCTCCATAACCTGGCACTGTTCCACTTTGGAACAAAGCTGCCTAGTGGCTCATTCATGTCAGCACCTCTGGAAGACTAAAAAGGAAGTCTGGGCTGCCTCCATTTGTTCTCGCTAACCGCCTGAAAGTTCACAGGGTAAGAAGCTCTTGTCACCACGAATGAGCTATAAAATGTATTTCAATATGTAATTACAATTGGCATTTCTGAGGCACATAATGCCCCCCCCCCCAGTGGATGTGGTAATCATAGTGAAAAGCGATTAAAGTGACATTAGCGGAGTGAGAACTGTATAGAGAGGTTGGAAACCTGGGTTGTCATTTTGAGAAATCTGACTGCCAAAGGACGTTGGCCCTTTTTTAATTGCCAAGTATAAAAGATGGTGTTTGGTTTATCCCCAAATTCACCCACAAAACTGGCTTTCAAACAACGCCTCTCCCCCCTTCCAGCCTTCCACCAACTTAATGTCACAAGTCAAATAGCTTTTCTACGAAACCTACACCTTCATCACTGAGCTCTGAAATGTCAGCTATAATTATAACTTCCTTTAAAAAACAACAACAAGCAAACACAAATTGCATTGTTTATTTAAAAGGACAAGCATTTCTTATCTTCTGGACATCTAAAATTAGCAAAATGAAGTTTCCCACTCCCCTTTAGATATTAAATGCGAGCATGGCCACATTTAAAAGAAAACAGAATACGTTTTGCTAATTCTAAAGGTTCAGGAGGTAAAAAGTGTACCCCTCAACTGTCCTGATTTGAGCGGAACGTCTTGGGAGCCATCCTGACTTCTGACTGGATCCCAGAATGTCCTGGTTATTTTTGTCTGGCTCCCTTGTGTGAATTTGCTGGCTCACGCCAAAGTGCCGAAACAAAAGACGTTCCTTTTTTGGTCTTGCTGGCTCTCACGCGAATCAGCTGGCTCATGCTCAAAAGGCAAGCCTTCTCTGTGGTGGCCCCTAAGCTGTGGAACTCTATCTCTGCAGAGGTGCATCCAGCACCTTCATTATAGAGCTTCTGGTGTAATGCTGAATGCATACCTCTTTGCCTTGGCTTTTGACATGAGGGTGGTGTGTGTGTGTGTGTATACACCCACCCACTCCCATTTTTTGTGATTGCAAGCTGTTTTAAACTGCTTCTAATATTGTGCTTTAATGCTGTAACCTGCTCTGGAACCTTAGAAGGGAAATACCACAAAGTGATTCATAAAAAGAAGAACACAACAAAGTGATCTGGAAAAATACCGGGGTTTTTTTTGCTCTATAAGACTCACTTTTTCCCTCCTAAAAAGTAAGGGGAAATGTGTGTGCGTCTTATGGAGCGAATGCAGGCTGCGCAGCTATCCCAGAAGCCAGAACAGCAAGAGGGATTGCTGCTTTTACTGCGCAGCGATCCCTCTTGCTGTTCTGGCTTCTGAGATTCAGAATATTTTTTTTCTTGTTTTCCTCCTCCAAAAACTAGGTGCGTCTTGTGGTCTGGTGCGTCTTATAGAGCGAAAAATACATAGCTATTTAAAACTTTTTTAAAAATTGATGAAAATCAATGATGAAAAACTGATTAAAACATATGCCAACATCCTGTATTCTTGGGTAGGCTTGGGGTTTTTTTTTGACAAAATGGTTTTAGCAGGCACCAAAAAGAGTAGAGTGAAGGCTCCTGCCTGATGTCAATAGACAGGGAGTTCCAAAGTCTGTGTGCTGCCTCAGTATAAGATTGATTTCTTACAAATGTAGAACAAGTGTATTGTGGCACTTGTAGCTGTGCCAGAAAGGTGATCTCTGAAGTAAACTGGTCCCTGGCATGCAAACGCCAATACTGTATCCCATTTAGGACGACATGGCGCCCATTGGCCTTCCAGGAATTATACTGGGGCCCATGTGCAATGAATAGAAAAATTCCACATTCATTTGCTGAGCCTGCTGCTACAATTAATTCATTTTGCACCATCTCCTGTCCTCATTACAGTTTTATTATAAGAATTAATATATTTTGCCATTTGCTATTCTGGTGAAATCAGGAGAGGAGCCGTGAGAATGAATACATTTTGTTCCACTTTGTCCTCATTATAATTTTAAGGTGTTCTCGAGAATGGATTAATTTGACGCCACTTCTCACTCTTTATCATAAGAATGAAAGCTAAAATAGTTATGAAACTCTGACAGCCTTTTGTCTGGAACTATTCTGTGCTCAAGATTTTTTTTAAAAAAAACTGCATTGAGAAGAGGAGGGGAAGGTTATAAATGTTCTGTGAGGGTTTATAAATGTATAGAAAATGATTGGATGCCTCTGAGGGAAAGCCGAAGGAATAAACAAATGAAACAGATGACCACATGCTTGTGACTGTCTCAAGATCATAATCTGCCATTCAGGCTGGGTACTCTAATCACACAGATATGATTTTCATTAAATTATTCCTTCCCCAACAGACAATAAACAACTACTTACTGATAGATGGCTGGATACTGGACCATTAATATAAAATGCCAGCTTCCCGCTTTACCAGAAACACTCAGAATCTCAGTCACTGGATACATTTGCAGTAGAAATGTGGTTCCTCTATGTTACTGTTTAAATACAATAAAACAAAAGAGAGAGAGAGAGAAACAATTGCAGTGGCAATTAAGTTTCATCCTAAAGATAGAAACAAAAGGGAAGTTCCATAAAGGGGATTGGGGAAATTTATATATTTTACACACACACACACACACACACACACACACACAAACACACTGCATACAGTCCAAAGTAGACAACCCAAAGTCCAGAAGGATTAGCAAATGTGAAATGCAAATGTATTTCCCCTACAAAAGTTCAAACAGCGGAAATGTTCCCAAGAAGGTATTACTCGGTGATATCCAGCTAAGGCTGGAAACTTAACCACACTTCCCTAGGAGTAAACCCCGCTGAATTCAATAACGCTTATGTCTTTATAGACATATGTTTGCTTGTTCATTTTCATTTATTTAATTTCTATACCACCCTTCATTCGTGGATCGTGGGGTGGTTTACAATATTTTGTGCTTTATGCACACACAAAAAGCCATAGTAACAAACATGGAATGTATTCAACTATGTTCTGCTCAGAGTAAAAGGTAAAGGGACCCCTGACCATTAGGTCCAGTCATGGCCGACTCTGGGGTTGTGGCGCTCATCTCGCTTTATTGGCCGAGGGAGCCGGCGTACAGTTTCTGGGGCATGTGGCCAGCATGACTAAGCCACTTCTGGCGAACCAGAGCAGCGCATGGAAATGCCGTTTACCTTCCCACCGGAGCGGTACCTATTTATCTACTTGCACTTTGAGGTGCTTTCGAACTGCTAGGTTGGCAGGAGCAGGAGAGACACTGAAATGAATGAGCCTATTAGTCATGACCATTAACCTGAATGGGTCTACTCTATGTAGGACTAGGATGGAATGCTACCCATTATTAGGACTGTGCTATAAGTCATACTGAGAACAGACCTATGGAAATTGAGGACTTAAGTCTATTTATTTATACTCTGAGTGTGGCGCTGTGGGTTAAACCACAGAGCCTAGGGCTTGCCGATCAGAAGGTCGGCAGTTTCGAATCCCCGCGACGGGGTGAGCTTCCATTGTTCTGTCCCTGCTCCTGCCAACCTAGCAGTTCAAAAGCACAAAGTGCAAGTAGATAAATAGGTACCGCTCCGGCGGGAAGGTAAACGGCATTTCTGTGCGCTGCTCTGGTTTGCCAGAAGTGGCTTAGTCATGCTGGCCACATGACCCGGAAGCTGTACGCCGGCTCCCTTGGCCAATAAAGCGAGATGAGCGCCGCAACCCCAGAGTCATCCATGACTGGACCTAACGGTCAGGGGTCTCGTTACCTTTATGACAACAGAGATCACCTACAGTTATTAATATTATATTCAATTTATATATCTACCCATCAATAAGTGTTTCCTCCGAAGCTTTCAATAAATGTTAAAAAACACAATTTATACCCATGATTAAAGAACAACAACAACAAACAAGTAAAAGCAGCAAAAAGCAAAAAGGAAACATCTCCATTGAAGCCACACCTCTGAGGAGTTGGCCTCCTGGATCATAGCTGTTTCTCTTAAAAGAGTCATACACCAGGTATTGAGTTGATAGTGAGGACTGTTGCCTTAATTTTACCATCCTTCAATGATCATTTTTGGTATATTTAATGAAGCCATCTCCTTCATTCTGATCCATCCTAAGTGCAAGAGACAGGCATTCCCTCACCATGTTACTTAGGCATAAACACCAAATAATATCTTGCTGTTCCTTTCCTTAATATTTCAAGAAATGTCTGTGACTTGCAGGGGGCAGCAAAAAGGTATAGAGTATGTCACTGCACATCCATGTCATATGCAGAAAGCAATCATTTAGTTGTTATTTATTATGAGAATGAATTCTTGGAAAATGCCCTTTGGTCTTCTCGAAATGACAGCTCGCTGTGATAATGCTGGTGGCAGATTGTTGACCTATAATATTCAGCATTTAATAGTGTTTCCTACTCACCACATCCCTGTGCAGCAGAACTTTCCAGAGGCAAGATTGTGTGAGGCCTGTTTCATTGCAAGGAGTGTGTCTTATTGGAACCGGAAGATGCATTGTATAATTTCATGTAGGCATTTGCAAATATACAGACTGAGCATATGGGAAGCAAGTACGCAAGCAGACTGTACTCATGCTCAAGCTGTATGAATTCATCCCTCCAAGATGCAAAATCCTGGCAAGCTGCTTCGGCATCCTTCAACACTCTTAAGGAACATTTCCAAACACAGGACTGTGTTTTTTTTCTCTCTTCCCCATGCACATTAAAGTTGCAAGCATAAATAAATAAATAACAAGTTGTGTCCAGACTCAGGTAGTTGAACTTAGGTCCCACTGAAATCAATGGGACAAATTATTAATGACTTAACTTAAGCCCTATTGATTTCTACTGGAACTAAGTTCAATTAACAGGCTGGATCTGGCCCAATGTTTCTTTCAACCCCCCCCCCCGCCCCTGAAGAGGCTGTACAAATTTCAGCAGCTTGCTACAGTCCCTGACCACCACTTCATGACTTTATCCATAATCAAGTGTGAGCTGTACAAAAGCTGAAGAGTATGGAGCCATTTTGCATAACCAAAAAGCATCCTAGACCAGCCCTGTCCACAGGAATAGCAGCAGTATCTTTAGAGAAGCACCCATAGAGCTCAGTGGCTGAAGCCATGGAGGGTAGGCTGAATGGGGCACTGCTCCACCCCATCAGTCTGCCCTCAGTGAGCCCCTGGCTTCTTACTTGCAACCAGCCAGGGGTGGTGGTGGTTCTGCTTATCAGCTTCTTCCTTGGTGTTGTCCTTGCAGAACTCAGCAGGAAGGAGGATGAGGACAAAATCAGAATTAGTTGGCTGCATCTGTCATTACCGTTGGTTTCCCTGCCTTCTGCCCAACCATTCCCAATGGACATAAGCCACCACTGGGCTGAACATATGCTTTGTATGCAGAAGGTTTCAAGTCCACCCCTTCCCAAATGTCTCAAGTTAAAATAATTTTGGGGTCCTGCTTGGGACACCTTCGCCAGCCACTTCTGGCCTCAATGGACCATATTGGGCTGGGTGGGATGAATGGCCTGGCATTGTATAAGGCAGCTTTTTACATTCTCAGGAACATACTCAGAAAACTTTATGAAAACCTGCTGAGGTGTTAACAATCCAGTCCGGAATATATCCCCTTATACTATACAGCTCAGGACCAGGTTACTTCAGAGACTGACTTATGCCTTAGATGCTGCGGTCTATGGGAGAGAGCATGGTGCTGATAACTCCAAGGCTGCAGGTTCAATCACCATATGAGACAACTGCATATTCCTGCATCGTAGGGAGTTGAACCACAATGACCCCCAGGGTCCCTTCCAATTACATGGTTCTAGAATTCTTGTGTGAGCTCCAAAGATCTCAGAAGCAGGGCTGCCTCTCCTCTGTGGAATATCATTCCTGTTGAGACACAACAGGCACCCACTATTTGCACTTTCCAGAAACAGGTGAAAACATTTTTGTTCTGAAAAGCTTTCCCAGCTGAATAAACAAAGCTTTTCTATGGGTGTTCACATGTTAAGAGTTTTAGTCTTACTTCAAATGTATTGGTCATGTTTGTGCCTTTAACCGCCTTTAATTATCTTCAGTGTAAATTGCGTTGAGACAGTGGTTTAGGTGGTGATGAATTAATTGTAATGAGACCTTTGTTGTTGCCCAAAGCTGGTTGCCGTTCTAGCAGACATGTGATGTGCAAGAACCAAGGCTTTGAAACTGAAACATGTGTTGCCCTGGGTCTGCAACATGCTGGTCTCTGCCATCAGCCAAGGTGCTAAGGGCCACTGTGAGGCTGCCTTTGTCTCCCAGGGAGATGATTTAATTTAATATACAGTGGTACCTCGGGTTAATAACTTAATTCATTCTGGAGGTCTGTTCTTAACCTGAAACTGTTCTTACCTGAGGTACCACTTTAGCTAATGGGGCCTCCCTCTGCCGCCACGCGATTTCTGTTCTCATCCTGAAGCAAAGTTCTTAACCCGAGGTACTATTTCTGGGTTAGTGGAGTCTGTAACCTGAAGCGTCTCTAACATGAAGCATCTGTAATCCGAGGTACCACTGTATACAATTTAGCCCACCCTGAGACTATCACTGAATGGCCAGCTTATAAATTCAGTCAGTCAAAGGAGAGGCCAACCTGGCTTCATCCATCAGTCAGAGAAGGAGCAGCTGCAAGGAGTTTGCTTCTGTCCCTCCCTGCCAGAAAGGACACCTGGCTCCACCTGCCAGTTGCCATGAGACTACAGAAGCAAGCAAGGGCTGTGGGGAGAGACGCTCCGGACTCCATCCACTGGACAAAGGAACAAGAGCCATGAACTGCTATTCAAGCAAGAACACCAGCATGGGAGCAGAAGAACATCGGAGGGATCACACCAATGGTCCATCTCACCCAGCATCCTGTTTGCTTATTGACCAACCTATAGGAAGCCTGCAAGGAGAATAACAGCAATCTCCACACTTGTTATTCCCAGCAACTGGCATTCAGAGGCATACTGTTTCCAACAGTGTAGGGAGAACACAGCCATGAAGGGTAGTAGCCATTGACTTCCTTTTAATAACAACAGTTTTAATATTTGTACCCCACCCATCTGACTGGGTTTCCCCAGCCACCCTGGGTGACTTCCAACAGATATAAGAACACAATAAAACATTGAGCATTAAAACTCTCCCTATACAGGGCTGCCTTCAGATGTATTCTAAAAGTTGTGTAGTTCTTTATCTCCTTGACATCTGATGGGAGGGCGTTCCACTGGGCAGGCGCCACCATCGAGAAGCCCCTCTGCCTGGTTCCCTGTAACCTCACTTCTCGCAGGGAGGGAACTGCCAGAAGGCCCTCAGAGCTGGACCTCAGTGTCCGGGCTGAATGATGGGGATGGAGATGCTCCTTCAGGTATACAGGGCCGAGGCCGTTTAGGGGTTTAAAGGTCAATACCAAGGGTTTGAATTGTGCCCGGAAACGTACTGGGAGCCAGTGTAGATCCTTTAGGACAGGAATTATATCTTGTGTGCAGCCACACCTGGTCACCGTCCAGCTGCCACATTCTGGATTAGTTGTCATTTCTGAGTCACCTTCAAAGATTGTTATCCTCTAATAACTTTTCTAACACACCCCCCCTTAAAAGTCATCCAGGTTGGTGGCTATCATCTTGTTGGGGCAATTTCCATCGTTTGTGCTCTGTGAAGAAGTGCGTCCTTTGTCTCTGCTGAATCTGCCAACATGCAGCTTCACAGAATGGCCTCTGAGTTCTAGCATTATGTGTGAGAGAGGAGATTGCCTTGACTCAAACTGCTGATTGCTCTCCCCTTCCTTCTTTGAACTGTGGACTATAAATACAGTCAACCAACAAACTGTGGGAATGGATAGCTCAGGCACCTCCTCCTCGTATCCTGGATGCTTTACATCTCGCTGTCAGCCCTGCTGCATTCAATCACACAGACGGGGCCACGTGACGGCGCTTGCCACAACTGGATCAACAAAGTCCTGTTTTCCTTCAAAGGCGTGTATTGCCCTGAGAAGTTAGCAAACTGGCACATCCCTGGGAGCAGCTGAGTTAGAGAGGCGCCTGCATATTTCATTCCTCTTAAAAGACTCCACTGCCCTCAAAGAATGGCTGGCTGATGTCTCCTCCACTTGAATTTCGTTACAGGATCTGTAATTAGCAACTAATAGAATCCCTCCCTCCTCCCTGTAGGCCAGCAGCAGGTGCTCCTATTTTCAGATGTATATGAAATATCTGCCAAATCATTTGGCAGATTTCAGGGAGAAATGTGCCAAATTACCTGTCACAGCAAAACTGCCTTTTTAAAGGAGAGATAAATGTTCCCGGAGCTCTAGTTCTACTGAACAACAGTGCCCCCAAGTGGCTGCTTGCACCGGCCACAGGTCTCGGGATGCTCCAGATTTCCTTTGGGATCCAGCTCACGAAAAACCTAACACACTATTCTGAAGCTAGGTCTGCATGCTCATACTACATTGGGCAGAAGAAACCTTATGCCATAGAAGAGCATTCCCTGTTAAGACGTTGAAGGTAGGAAATGCTAATGTTTCATCATTTTGGAGGATGAGAAAAGTCAATTCAGCACATTCATACAAGCCTTACCAAGTTATTAGGTTTTCTTCTCCGGGCTTTGCAAACTGGGTTTGGAAGAGTCAGTCCCTGATTTATGTTCTTGGCATGCCACAACTTTGAACATGTTGAGTAAAGACATAGACCAATTTCCAACAGTGCACAAATTGGCGCTTTCAAGCGGAATGAAAGTTCAAGGTGCCCAAAGTTTAGATTTGGATTTGGTCAAATACCCAAGAGAAAACACAGCCATTCCATCAGGCTCCAGCAGGAGAGAAGGGAAGCAAGGCAACCTCATTGGCTCTGCTGAGAGATCAGGTGCTTTGCCTTCCCCCTCCCCAACTGTTTCCATTCCATTCCATTCTGTTAGAAGAATCTGTTGCCTTAAAACTGATACCTGAATTTGCTTTCTGCCCTCCTCACTCCTTTTTCCTTTTGTGCCATGTCTTCTAAACCACAAGCTGGACTGCAGGGTCTGTCCTTACCTGGTAAGACTTACAGAGTCTATGTATAAGCCATTCTTGGGCCTGATACAGTCAACATGGTAACAGCATGGATATCTGATGGCAGGATCAACACTGTAGGAAGCAGGAGGGCCAAGGTCCTCCAGGAACCAGGTGACAGTAAGGAAAAATATCAAAACAAGTGAACTCAGAGACCTGAACTGACCCAGTCTGATGCTCCAGTCCACTGCCTCAGAGGCAAAACTAACCTTTATTTAACCCAGTTTGGCACACACATTTGTGCTCACAGGCTGGGAGGTTCAGACACCCTCTCCCACATGTGTTGAAAGTCTGGGTGGGAAGGGTTGCAAGCCTGCATGCAGCAGTCACATTCGCTGCCACTGGCCCAACAGCCACATGTCCAGCTATCTGTGCATTCTGTGGGCATGTGCAGAGGCCCTGTGCACATACCGATGAACATCTGTAGAGATCTTCCACATGAAGAAGGACCCTGATTGGACAAGGGTCTCTCCCTCACATGCAGGAGCTCTGTGCGCATGCATTGGTATACATGGAGAGTCCCTTCACATGGCTGCAAAATGTGAACAGAGGAACATAGCAGGGGGTAGGAGTAGATTACCCTAGAGGTCCCTTCTAAATCTACAGCTCTGTGAACGAACGAACGAACAAACGAAGGAAGGAAGGAATGAATCTTTATTTGCGTCAGCCACCGGCCATAGCAACAAAACAACAACACAATATACAAAGAACAGAAATAAAAAGTCAATTATATAAAACACACTTTAGGGTCCTGAATCAACAGTCAAATAGTAGACCTTATTCTAATTGCCCCAGCTAAAAACCTTGCAACTTCCATGAATGGCCAACAGGTATAGCCCCGGTGATTTTGCACCCCATGTCTTTTTCAGTTGGTGTGGGTGTCCAAGCCCCCTGATATGCTGTCACCATTCTAATCTGAAACTCCCCACAAGAGATGTTGTGTACTCTGTGTGTGTGTGTGTGTGTTTCATTTCTACTCCATCTTTCCTCCAAGAAGTCCAAGATGGTGGGCATGGTTCTCTGAACAATCCTGTGAGGTAGAATATGCTGAGAGGCAGTGACTGGGTGAAGGTCACTCAGTGAGCTGAGTGGGGATTTGAACCCTGGTCTCCCAAGTTGCATTCCCGTGCTCTTAAGGTTGTTGGTGACTGTGCCCAAAATCTAGGCCTAGAATAGCTTTCCTCATTCTGGTGCCCTCCAGATATTTTGGACTATATCTCCCCTCATTCCTAATTAGTTGCCAGGTTGGCTGGGGCTCATGGGAGTTGGAGTTCAGCACCATCCAGAGACCAAAAGGTTTGGAGAAAGCTGGCATAGAGATTGTGTTTTCCAGCTCAGGATCTACAAGGTTAGTGACTGAGGCCAGATAAGGTGGAGCCAGCAGAAAGTTGGTTAGGCAAACAAAGATCCAAATACATCTCTATATCTAGTTATACTTGGGTGGGACCTAGGCAACCCAGAAAGCTTCATTCTGTCTACCAGTCTCAAGGGCTGAATTGCATACCTGTATCCCACTTTACACCTGAGTGGTCTCTAAGGCACACACCTTCTCAGGTAGCTCTAGGCTAGATCCCAGCTGCTCTTTTGGCTTGATGCAAGCATAATACAGGAGGAAGGATAATAATTGGAGAGAAACCCCAATGCAATGCAATTCAGAGACCAAAGGAATCCCACCCTCAGCAAAACTGCATTTCTGAGTGAAATTAACTTTCATTTTTTAGCAAGGAAGAGAAGAGGTTGGGAGGGACACGATGTTATTAATATGAGTTGATAATGGCAGATGAAATTCTTTTTCATCTGCTGCTTGAGATGTCATTCTTGGATTTTTCCTGGTTTAGTTTCCCTTTTATCAGAACCTCGCATTCTCTCTTTGGAGAGTTTTAATTAACTTGCAAAGTGTTCTTTCAGTATGAATAAATGATTATGTTATTTATAGCTGCTGTTTTTGCAAAATCTCGTTGGAATCCTGTTAATTCTAAAATGTTAATGATCTGGTTCCCTGTTAACAGTGAAAAACATTTGACTTTGCATTATCACACTCCTCCCTGTTCCTCTAACTTGAAGCCTCACGCAGCCAAACTACAAAATTGAAGGAAGTGTTCTCCATTTGCCCATTTGTAAAAGGAAGAGATTTATGGCAGGTTCCTTTCTATGAAGCTTCACTTTTGGAAACTCATTTGAGGCCAGGAGGGATGAATGGATTTGTCAGTTTCGGTCTCTCTCCTTCCCCCATTTTTCCATTCTTAACTTCAGTTCCACATTAGTTTTCATTTAAACAACAGCTCCTCATGAACATTTTAAGGTACATTTCTCCTTAGAGACACATTGTTTTGCATGCAATTTTCCCTAATGTAACACATTTTTGTATATTATTTTCACCAAAATATGCATTTTTATGCACACTTTCTCCTAACAGGAACATTTTTATTTAGAGAAGTGTGAATGTCAAAGGATAGCTCTATTTTGGTTATATGGTTTTGGAAAGCACAAATTAGGTAGGTCCACCTTAAACGCCAACCAAACCAGATTTCTCCCCCAACCCTAGAAGCCAACCAAGTCCTCCAGTGGATTTTGCAAATAACCACAGCTTAGTAGTGATGGGCAAGATTTACCTAGCTCATCTTTCACTCATTTGCCCCAAGTTTCAAAGAGAAAAAAAAAGAGCAACACAAGACTTGTTAAAGAAAGCTCAGAAAAAAACATGAAAATTATTACTGACCATCCTTGTAGGGTAGCCACACAATGCACCACCAAAATAATAGGAAAAGAGAGGGCATAGATATGCATAAAATTTACATGTTAATTTATACATATAAATAATCTCTATAATTTAAACAGAAATGAAATGCATCCCACCATAGTAGGGAAGACTGTGATCAGATCATGCTGGTGTCTTCTTCATTTGCTGTCAAGGTGCTAACTGCTGGTGGGCAACTTCAAGGTCTCTGCTCTCCTTCCTTTGGGCTATTTATCTGTAAACTGGCCAGTCCTTCAAGCACAGGACCCCCTTTTGTAAAGTAGGACACATGGCCATCTCTGATCTGCAAGTAGGGAGGGGACTGGCTCCTATGTACCTGATCAGTTAGTGACAAGGTTTTTGTAACGCAAGCTCGGATCGTTCCGTTTCACATTTTGTAATATATGTATGGACTCAGCCCGATGTGTCGAGTTACAAAAATGTCATAACTGATCTCTCTTGTCCCAAGCCTGTCTGCTCAGAAGAAAGCTCCATTAAATTCAATGCAACTTACTCCTGGGAAAGTGATATATTTGTTTACTAAGCAGCCAGTTAAGAGGGTGTATGTAAAGACAGAGACTTCTAAAATTGAAGGCTTTCTTTTCTTTTTTGGGAACAGCAAAACATGCTTCGAGTTTGAGAACAGTCACAGGGATTTTGGTGTGAAAACAGTATTTTTTTTTTAAGGCACTGATGACTTATTGTGAACTCTTGCAGAGAAGGCGGCAGATTGCATGCTAACAAGAGTGAGAGCTACAGGCAGGCTCCCTTTTTGTTCTCTTCTTATGAGCTTCATTCTCATCTTTATCCGCAACATAGAGCAGGGACAGCATGCATCAAAAGCAGAAAGTGCACTGTCTTGGGAGAGCAGGATTTGCTCTAACCTTCATTTTATGAACATATTAAAGGGTAATGCAGCTGGAACATATCAAATGCAACAGAAAATGAACAAGCTAGATGTTTCAGCCAAGGACATTTAATCATTTCATTATGCCAGTTTAAAGTCTTCTCCCTATTTACTTTGATCTCTTTCCTCTTCTTTAATCTCCCATTTTGAAAGCATAATATGCCACTCCCCTTTCATTTCCATTTATCTTACTCTTTTTTTTGTACGTAATATGAAGTAGTATGTAAAATTGCTATTTGACAGAAACTGTGGAAAGAAAGTTTTATAACCTTTGGGCATGTTCAAGCCCAACAGTTTACAAGGCTATGACAAATGTGTATCATGCAATAGTATTAATAAAATAACACAGAACATGTAGAACATAATACTTAACAGAAAACATATTTGAACTTGAATCTGCGGACATGAAATGGAGACCAGCAGTGGAAGATCACTGTCAATACTGAAGCTATGTACACATTAGCAGCTGAAAATGCAGCAAGGTCATTCCTCCCTTGCGGCATTTCAAGTCACCATCCCATGTTGCTTTACATCCCAGAGAAAGGGCAAGGATGTCTTCACCCAATGCACATTACCAGTTTAGTACATAGCTGTCAAGTGTCCCTTATTTGGTGGGCAGTGCCTTATCCCAGTGCCATGTTCCGCTGCTGTCCCTTATTGATGATGTCCCTTAAATTTCCTGGGTTTCAAAGGAAGCAGCTCCTCTCCCTCCCTCCCCGCCGGCCAGGGAGGAGGGAGGCTCCAACTGTGTTGCTTGGCTGCGTTGTTCTCCCAATAAGGAGTCTAAGAATGACTGGGGGGTGGAGCTTGCATGCCTTGTGCTGATCAAATCGGCCGTGTTGCCTGGGGACTCGCCTTTGCTCAGCGCTTCCCAGCGGAGAGGTGACGGTGGTTTTCCTTGCGGCATCCCCTTTGCCAGGTTGCTGCACTATGGGAACCACCACTTGAGGCTTCGTTTGGCTGCTGGCTGGGCTTTCTGCCTTTGGCTTGGAGGGGCTCAGAAGTCGAACATACCTGTGCTGGGAAAATCCCTTATTTTGGCTGCTGATCCCTTATTTTCGAGGCTGCTGGTCCCTTATTTTCAAATCTGTAAGTTGACAGCTATGGTTTGGTATCCCTGTGCCTGCAAACTCCCCCCCCAAAAAAATTCCTATTTCTGAATCTGTCATCTGCGCATGCACAACAGCTGTCTCAAATGTACACACCTCAGCTTAAATGCAAAGTCAATGTGGCTTACATTTTCAAATCATATGGACGCTGATTGGCAGGAAAATACATTGGAGAGCAGTGTTTCTCAAGGAACTACAAGACACATGTATGGATTGTGGCTAACATCATGCATGCACAGCTTCAAACGCCGGCAGTGAGCATTCACTGATGCCAGAATGGATGGTAACATACACACAGCCAGAGTGACTTTAAAATCCACATCACACAAAGAGGTGCTGGAGAGATTTGATCTGTGTGACTGACTATTCAAAATAACCTCATCTGTATCTCTTGGACTAATATGAATTAAGTTTAGATTAGATTTCATACTTCTCTGAATATTTCAGTGCACTTCCTGGCAGTTTAAACATTCCCATAATCTGGATTTAACTCACAGAGTTGCAGAAAGACCAGGGACTCAAAAGGTCCAACCTCCTTCAATGCAATAATTGTGTAGAGAAAATGCATGCTTCAAAACATATTTTGAATTAAATAAACATCTAAATATATTTTAAAATACACATTTTGCATTTGTATATTTCAAAAATATTCACAGATTAATGCAGAAATTGAACTGGATTTTGGAAGGAATATGCTAATGTAGCAGGAAAGAGGAATGGATTTGCCAATACTTAAATCAAAAGCCAGTTCATGCCACCACAAGTTAGTCCTTGGGGTCTGGGAATCTCATAGTAACAAGAGGTGAAATAAATCTTCCAGAACTCCACTGTAGATTTTGGTAGTGAAATTTGCTGGAGCTCCTCCCCCCCCCCCAGATATGCAAATATTTGTAGAATTTGTCATCAGAGTTTGACACCCAATGATTGTGTAGTAAGTAACTGCCAACATTTGACAGTATCAGACATGTAGCAATCAACCTTTGACAGTAACTGACAACCAGAGTGGAATGGCAGCCCGTATGTGACAGCTTCTGGCAGCTGCATTGCAAATTTTGTACTAATTTCATTTGTTCAGTTACAGTGCAATGCTTCACAGGTTAATTCAGAAATAAGTGCCACTGACTTCAGTGAAATGTACTCCCAAGTGAGCATGCATAGGACTGCAGTCTTAATTTCATTTGTAAAATATCCTCTTGAAGAGACCAATAAACCAAAGTACCCTTATTTTGAATTCTGATGTCAGGTTTTAATTCGAAACTCGAATGTTGCATTTAGGAGTCAAATTTCAACATCAAAATCCAAACTGGGGCATTTGAAAATGTTACGAGTTTTGATTCCCCTTCCCTCCAATTATTTATTTAGCTAAAGCTCTGATGGAGATCTAGGGGGGAATATATGGGAATGTGGAGTAGGCCTGAAAGCAAATGGAGCCATCATTATTGCTTGCAGGACCAAAGGTATATAGAGTTACATTACGTGAGCTAATGGCTGCTGGAAATTTGAGAAGACCTGTACATTTCACTTTGAGCGAAAAGATAAATACAGCAAAAAACATGGTGTCTATGTCTGATTAGAACAAGTTAAAGTACAGTTTGGAAAAATGGAAATCAGAGAGAGATTACACACACACAACACACAAACCATGATGGTTTTTGGAAGGCCTTTGATCCAGAAAGGACGTGGTTTCCAAATTATAACAATCATTAAAAAAATAAAAACACTATCCATTTTATCATTTTATTAAATAAAAGCAAAATCCTAAAACATTAAAAAGGAAAAGAACAGAAACCACAAGCCTAACAGCAGGTAAACACTCTTAGGGTTTGTCCACACTTACGCTTGTCTTTCCACTATCCCCCATGAAAACTCACTCGTTACAGCTGAATCGGGGCAAACATCGATCAGGTTTTCTATGGATAGATGTTTGCTCTGATTCAGTGGTAAAGAAAAAGTATTCCTGGGGAAAGTGGTGGGAAAATGGAAAACCACTCAGACCATGGGTGTAGCCAAGGGGGGTAGCTGCCCCCCCCATTCAATAAAAATCAATAGCAAACTGAGGTTCTGCCCCCCGCCCCCTGCCCAACAAAAATCCTGGCTATGCCCATAACTCAGACCTGTATCTAAAAAAGCATGGGACAAGCTGAAACCCTCCTGGAGCCATGTTGTTTTTTTTAGGCACAGGACAAGTGGAAATCCTTAGATTACAATTAAATTAAAAACTAGCCTCCCTTTCAGCTGGATGCTGGAATAGAAAGATTTGTGGCACCTTCCTAAAGATTAAGAAAGCCAGCCTACAGAGCTTCACTGGGGGAAGAATTGTGCACTGAGGGTGCCCCTGCTCATTGCACCAATTAAAATTTGGATAAAAGGGGAAAACAGAGCTGGAATTCATGTGAACATCTTACGCTTAGTAAAGAGGCCCACATGGTATAAAGCACTCCCGAGATAATCTGGGTCAGAGCTTTTGATCCAGATACAAAGAGTCCTTATTCATGTTAATGGAAAAAGTTGATCACATCAAAGGAGGCAAGGGGCCTTCTTGGATGGTCACTGAAAGCGTTCATGAAAGACACCTCCTTCACACCTTTTTCACCTCCTGGTCCTGGTCCTGTCAATGGTGGCAGCTGCACTCCCCACTGCTCCTTGGTACCACTTTTGTCCTTATTCCTACCCACAATGCTGTGGATGTGGGTGAGTGTTTGGGGGTGCATTAAAAACATTGCCCTCTCTCTGAAATGGCTTCAAACATTGCCTTGTTTCCTCCATAGCGTCTTCATTTGTTCACAAAGTCCAATCCATGTGAGGGGAGTGCTTCCTGTCCTCACTATGATTTGGCTGCATGACACCATGAAACCCACAGCAATGATGATAAGCAGCAGAAGGGAGTATGGATGCCGTCACCAGTAAGTGGAGTGAACATTTTTGCCTCTTTTGCAGAGTCCTCCCAAAGGTGTCCTAAATACCTCTCCATCTTTGCAGCCTGTGAACAGGGCAGCAAAACCATGTGGGTGTGCTTAAGTTGAGCCCTAACATAAAAGCTCTTTTTTTGAAATGTGATCATTCACTGTGGGGATTTGGAACATCCTTTGATTAACTCTTCATGCAGTGCATAGTGAAACCGTGAGCTTGTTCCTACGGGAGACATTGGTGGCCACCCATTTGGGTGGCTTTAAAAGTGGATTGGATAAAATCATAGTCGAAAAGGCTATCAATGGCTACCAACCATGAAGGCTACGTTCTACACCCACTGTTGGAGGAGGTGTGTCTGATTATCAGTTGCTGGGATTGGATAAGTGGGAAGAGTGCTGTTGCTGTCATTCCCATCTTGCAGACTTCTCACTGGCATCTGGTTGGCCATTTTGAGAACAGATGCTGTACCAGATAGGCCATTGGTCTGGTCCGCCAGGCTCTTATATTCTTAAGTCCCTGAAGTTCACCCAAAACAAGAGTGGAGATGTCGAGAGAGTAAAATGTTTGCAAGGGAAGGTGAGGACATATTCAGAAACTCTAACCAGACATGGAGATATCCCCCTAGAAAGAGGAATTGAAGTGGTGTTTGAGACCCCCTGCCTTCCCTTCATTTCTGTGGCATCTCTTAACCAGGGGCTTCTGCAAGTGCCCTTAAACACTGCATAGTTCACATTTATCTTCCCAAAGCCAATGCCCAATCATCTCCACTTCCTTTCGATTTTTCCACTGCTGCTCTTTATTGTATATGACATCTATCAGAGAGACTTGCTCCTCTGTCAGTAAACATATCCCTGACTTTGCTTTGTGTACAGTTTTCTCCCCTTGGCATGCGGCTGCTCCCAACGGAATGGAACTTCTGTTCTGACAGCTGCTTGTTCTGTGTAGAGGGGGAATGAAACTGGAGGAAACAATGAGATCGATCAGTGGGCTCAGATAAAAGCAAACAACGGAAGGGGGTGTCAGGGAAATAAATTGGGAAAGGGATATTGCCACCACTTGGGAGGGGGCATCAAAGAGAGGGAGAGAAGCTTGAAAGAGCAAGAGGAAAATGGCAGGTGGGCAAATGGATCTGTGTGGGCAAATGGATCTGCTTCTCCAGAACATCTTGTTTCATGAGAGCTGCTGAGAAGCTGAAAACTCTGATCCAAGGGAGAAAGAGAGAGAAAGAGAGAGAGAAAGAGAGAGATCAAAACTGGAATGTAAAGAGACCCCTTACACCAGGGGTTGGAAACCTTTTTCAGTCCCAGGTTTGCATTTCTTCATGAGAAACTTTCCAGGGGCCACCTGCCAATGGTGTGCAGAGCAAGAGGGAAAAGTGTACAAAGCAACAGATTTGACTTTTACCATTGTACAGTGGGTTACATACCAGACACAGCAATTGAGAGTTTTCTATATGCACACACATCTCTCCATCACAGTCCAAAGACACATTCTAGCCGGACAAAGGCACTTGAGCAGGGCCACTGAGAGATGGAGGCAAGGAGTGTGGCCTAGCAAGAGACCCAACAGAGTCCAGAGAGACTGACACGGAGGCCTGGAGGTTCCCCACCCCTGCCATACACTGTGGCAGTCCAACAGCCTGAGTGCATCCCTATAATAACTAGTAGAGGTCAGTTATTATTTATTATATTGCTATACGATTGAGAGGTTGGTTTGGATGCTATATTTGGACCTCAACCAATCCTGTGATTGTCTACCAGCAAGACTGTAGCCTATATTGGAGGGAACCCGCTGAAATGGTCAAACCAGTCGCTTTGTTGCAATAATGGCCCTAGCTGGGCCTGTGAGCATCCTATCTGCATGACTGAGGAGTTGGCCATGTTGCCATAGAGACCACAGTCCTCCAGGAAAGCTTTTACTCTGCTCAGCTGGCTAGGCATTGCTTCATCCTAGAAGTAAGAGAACAATAAACCTGGGGCTATTGTTAGTTTGGTCTGGAGCTTGAAGCTGAAAAGACAGAGGTGAACTTGCTGTCTGTGCTGAGGTTCAGCACTATGCCCCCCCCCCCACGGTTGCATATATGTGTAAATAAAACCATATATTCTAAAGGCACCACAGTCTCCAGTGACCTTCATTTCAAGGAAACCAAACCCAATGTAACCACTGGAGTCCTTCAATGCTCAGAGAAACCTTGGAGAGCTGCTGCATGTCAGTGTAGGCAATGCTGAGTTGGATGGACTAATGGTCTGATTCAGTATAAGGCAACTTACACTGTGTCACTTGGGATTGCATTGCCCACCCATTAATGGAGGTCGATCAGTAGCTCCTAGTTAGGATAGACTATTGATTATTTTAGCTAAATGGAGAGAGAATATTGCCACTAAATACCAGTTACTGAGGAGGGACAGCATAGCAGGTTATTGCCTTCGTGAGTTATGGTACTTATGGGCTTATCAGAGGCATTTGATTGACCAGGTTTCGAAACATGATAGATTAGATGGGCCTATGTGGTCTGTATAGCAGGACTCTCATTCAGACTTTAAGTTTAAAAGAAAGAGAGAAACTTAAGGCCTATACAGTTTTTACATTGCTATATTTTATGGCCTGGTGCATTCCTTTGTAATTGGGATTTTCTTCTCATTAAATATAGAATAAGACATAGTTTCTTATTGAACTCAAGGATGCGTTTCAAGCAAATAGTTTTAGCAATGCTATAACCTAAAAAAAAAAAAAACCCTCACACACAGTGTGAAAAGTTTATGAACAGCAGCAGATAGCGGAGGTAAAACTACTGTCTTGGGATTTAATGCGACCGTGTAATGTTATTGGGACAATTGTGCACAGGAATAATTGTTTCAATCATATTCAGCACGAGTAAGGCTTTTGAAATTAAATAATTTATAATGTATATTAAGTTAAATAATCTAGACAGTCAACCCAACGCATTGCAATTGGGGGAAGTACATATATTAACCTCGAGGGAACAACTGCTATTCCTACTTAACTGTCCAGGGCTGCTATGAATGCATTTAATGTATATTATTGCAGCCGTAAATTGAAAAACAAGATGAGAATTCCTAACGTTACTGCTGACCATGATGGACTTGGAGTGGGACTCTATAAAAACAGCCTAGAATGTGCTTAATCCCTTTAAAAGAGGGTCTTAGAGCTCAAGGCTGCAAGGAAAGCACAGCCTCTGGTCCAATTCTAAATGTGTGGGGTGGATTGTTGCAACTTCTAACACATGGGGAGCCTGTGCAGAAAGGCTCATCTCTGGGCTGCACAGTAACACCAGAAAACTGCGCTCACATGGGTATCCATCTTTCTAAGTGATTGCCAACTGCTTATATCAAAGAGAGGTTATAGCTATATGGGAAACAGCCACAGCACAAAGTCCACAAAGACTGTGGACATTGGCCATTTCAAGTATTGTGAAGAAATCCTGCTAAAAGGAATAGTAGTGTCCCCCTGTGGCCAGAGGTTGGGCTGAAACAACACCCTACATAAGGAGACCAAAATAGGTGTGAGCCTCAGTACCCCTAGTTGGGCACTCCACTTCTGGATATTCCAGGCTCATGAGATGACGGTGTAGTGCCAGAGGCTTTCCTTCTATCTGGCTTACTTAGGGGGAGTAGGCAAGTCCTGTGTAGATAAAGGTCCTGATAAGATACTGGAAGAGGCAGGTGCATCATGCCCAGTCTGAAGCCATTAGTCCTTGTCTATTCAGTGCTGAGTGGGATGCGGGTGGCGCTGTGGGTTAAACCACAGAGCCTAGGACTTGCCGATCAGAAGGTCGGCGGTTTGAATCCCCGCGACGGTCCCAGCTCCTGCCAACCTAGCAGTTCGAAAGCATGTCAAAGTGCAAGTAGATAAATAGGTACTGCTCCAGCGGGAAGGTAAACGGTGTTTCCGTGCGCTGCTCTGGTTCGCCAGAAGCGGCTTAGTCATGCTGGCCACATGACCTGGAAGCTGTCTGCGGACAAACGCCGGCTCCCTTGGCCAATAAAGCGAGATGAGCGCTGCAACCCCAGAGTCGGCCACGACTGGACCTAATGGTTAGGGGTCCCTTTACCTTTACCTTTATTCAGTGCTGATGCAACAACTCTCAGAGGAAGCTCCCCACCTCGCTGTGCAGATGGAGCTCTGGATCCCTCTGGACAGTTCCTTGGGTGGCCCAGGCCTCCTGCTCAGTACCTGCTCTGACTGATTGAGCCCTCTACACCGCTCAACATCAAAAGAAGCAGACACCCAGATGTGCTTGATGGTAATGCAGGCCTTGGAGCAGACTGTGGCTTGAATGGCAGCAGTTGGGGCTTCCTGTAGATACATTTGGCATAGGCGGGAAGAATCCTCTTCATCGTCTGTAGTTCCAAATTGCTCCTCCCAGAATCTTGCCAGTGGTTTGGGTTTGCCCGGGAACAGGCGGTGGAATTCCTCCACCAGATACCCGTCATCAATTGCCTCCGCGGGAACCCACGTGTTTTCCGACCCGGGTTCTCCCTCCCAAGCTACCAAGTACTCCACCTGGCGTCCTCGCCACCTTGAATCAAGTATTTCCGTGGCCAAGTGGTGGTGCTCCCTCTCTTCTACCTGCGGGTGTGTGGTGACTTCTCCCTCTCGCCCCGGGAATTCCCGCCCCTCCCTGTACGGTGAGAGTAGGGACCTATGGAACACCAGGTGTATTTTCATGCTGTCAGGCAACTTGAGCTTGAATGCCACGGGGTTCACCTGCTGTGTTACCTCAAACGGTCCCAGCCGCCTGGGCTGCAACTTCTTGCACCCCCCCTTAAAGGGTAACCCTTGGGTTGACAACCACACCCTGTCCCCCACCCGTATGGTCTCCCCTTCCCTACGGTGCTTGTCTGTCTGCCTCTTGTAAATTTCCTTGGCCCGCTCCAAGTTCATCTTAAGTTGCTGGTGCAGGGCCTCCATTTCTTCCACAAACTGCTCTGCCGCAGGTACGCTCCAACTTTCCTCCCCACTCCCCGGGAAGGCCCTGGGGTGACACCCATAATTGGCCATGAACGGGCTCATTCCCGTGGACACATGTTCAGCGTTATTGTACGCAAATTCAGCCAGCGCTAGTTTCTCCACCCAATCGTTCTGCCTCTCGCTGACGTAACAGCGTAGGTATTGCTGGAGTATACTGTTCGCTCTTTCTGCTTGCCCGTTGGTTTCCGGGTGTCTCGCCGTCGAGAAGCCCACTTCGACCTGTAGGAAGCTTATGAGCTTCCTCCAGAACCGGGAAGTAAATTGTTTCCAACGGTCGGAGATAACCCTCGAGGGAGCCCCATGCAACCTGAAGATATGATCTACAAACAACCTGGCTGTTTCCTCTGCCGTAACCGCATGTGAGCAGGCTATAAAATGGCACATTTTTGTCAGTAGATCGACCACTACCATGACTGCTGTCTTTCCCCGGGACTTGGGCAAATAGGTCATAAAATCAATGGACACCACCTCCCAGGGTTTTCCCGGCGTGGGTAAGGGTTCCAGTAATCCTGCGGGGGCAACCCGCTCCCCCTTTGCCCTTTGGCAGCGGTCGCACCCCCGTACATATTCCCGTACATCCTCCCTCACCCTGGGCCACCAGAACTGCCTGGTGACGAGCATCATGGTTTTGTGCTGTCCAAAGTGTCCAGCTGTGGGGTTGTCGTGGAGTTGTTTGAGTACCTTCCCCCGTAGGGTCTCCCCCGGTACATACAGCGCCCCCTTATAGTACAGCACCCCTTCCTTCTCCTCAAACCCTCCTTGGGTTTCTCTTCCGTCTCGGAGTTCCCGGATTTTAGTTTGTGCGAACATGTCGTTTCTAGTAAGTCCGGCCAGTTCTCGTTTCCCCACCAAGATTCCCCCACACACCCACCGGTCCTCGGGGATCACGTGTCGTATCTCCGGCGGCCCCTCTTCTTTCCAGTACTCTGGCTTCCGGGAGAGAGCATCTGCTCTCACGTTTTGCTCTCCTGGTACGTATCGGATTTCGAAGGAAAACTTGGAGAACTCCTGTGCCCATCGAATCTGCCTCTGGTTGAGTACTCGTGCGGTCCTCCAGTATTCCAAGTTCTTGTGATCTGTACAAACCTGGATCTTGTGCTGCGCCCCTATTAGTAGATGGCGCCATCGACGAAACGCCGCATAGATCGCAAGCAGTTCACGGTCATACACAGTATAGTTTTGCTCTGATTTGCTCAGCTTTCTCGAGAAAAAGGCACACGGCTTCCATTCCTGCTTGCTCCTCCCTGGCTGCAAAAGAACTGCCCCAATGGCTCTGTCGGACGCGTCGGTCTCTAGCCTCATGGGTTTCTCCAGATCCACGTGCAGGAGCTGCTCTTCCGATGCGAACGCCTTCTTCAGTCTTTCAAAGGACTGCTGGGCCCCCTCTGTCCAGACGAACTTCCTTTTGCTACTGAGACAATCTGTGATGGGCGCTGTCAAGTGGGCGAAGTTCTTGATGAACTTCCTGTAGAAGTTGCTGAACCCTAAGAACCTCTGCACATCCTTCCGGGTTTTGGGAGCCTTCCACTCCAGCACTGCCTGCACCTTGCTTGGGTCCATCGCTAGGCCTTTGTCTGACAACCTGTACCCCAGAAACTCGACTTCTCTGGCGTGAAACTGACATTTTTCCAGCTTGACCCACAACTGGTGTTTCTGCAGTCGTTTTAGCACTTCCCTGACGTCCCTGACATGTTGCTCCTCATTGTCCGAATAGATTAAGACGTCGTCCAAGAAGGCTACGCAGTTCTTGTACAGCAGGGACCCCAGCACGTGGTGCATGAAAGCTTGAAAACAGGCGAAGCCCAACTGTAATCCAAAAGGCATAACTAGGTACTCAAAGGCCCCTAGGGGTGTGAACATTGTGGTCTTCCATTCATCCCCCTCCCTCATCCTAATCAAATTGTGTGCTCCCCTGAGGTCCAGCTTGGTAAAAATTTCCCCTTGCCTCACCCGTGTTAAAATGTCGTCAATCCTGGGCATAGGGAAGGTCACGGGTTCCGACACCAAATTGACGGCCCTATAGTCCACAACGAGCCTGGGTTTATTTGTGTCCTTTTTGTCCACAAAGAACACCGGACTGCCCCCCACCGCTTTTGATTCTCTTATGAAGCCTCTTTTCAGGTTCTTGTCAATAAATTCCCACAACTCCTTCATCTCCCTGTCCGACATGGCATATAGTTTACCCACCGGCAGCTGCGCCCCCGGGAGCAAGTTGATTTGGCAGTCAAAGGGCCTATGGGGGGGTAGTCTATCCGCCTCCTTCTCGCTGAAGACCTCCTGCAGGTCAGCATATTGTGGTGGCACCTCCCCTTTCCGCTCCACGGCTATCCCAGCCACCCTGGCCACGGTCATTCTTGGGGTTTCCCCCCCTAGACAGTGTTCCAAACAGTAAGCGGACCCAAAGGTGACCGTCCTCTGATGCCACGCCACCACTGGATCATGTTGTGCTAGCCAGCTCATCCCTAATATTATTGGGGGCCCTGCCAGTGAGGCTACGTGAAAGGTGATGGTCTCCGAGTGCCTGGAAACCCTCATTCTCATTGGTGGGGTCTGGTGTGTCACTTCCCCTCCCAGAAGCTCTCTGCCATCAATGGTGGTTACTTGCAAGGGGAAATCTAAGGGCAGCAGGTGGAGCTGGTGCTCTAGTACAAAGTCCTTGCTGAAGAAATTGCAGGAACTGCCTGAATCCAACAGCCCTTTCACCTTGACTGGGTGCCCATTCGGGAGTTCTAGCACCACTTCTATGGCTATAGCCGCCCTGAGGGGGTCTGGTTGGGGCACTTCTATTGGTTGCTGGCCTGGCTGCTGTGCCCGCTGAGTGGCAGCCAAGCGTTGTCGTTTCCCTGCTCCTTTCCCTTTTCCACTCCCCCCTCACCCCCTGCAGCTCCCACCATTCCTTGCCAGGCCTTTCTTTGAGGGCAGACCCTGGCAAAATGTCCTGGCCGCTGGCAGAGGAAACACTTCTTATTAGTTCTCCAATCCTTTCCCTCCTTCTTGCGACCGTCGCTGGAATTTGAAACCTCCCGCGCGCGCGCCCCATCTATTTCCATTGGCTTCGCCTGCCGGCAAGCCAGCCTTGGTATTTCAGGAATGCGGTAGTCATGGTAACGTTGCTCTCTCCCTTCCCGCTTCTCCTGAGCCCGCGCTTCCTGCCTTACACCAATCGCAAGCACAGCCTTGGTCAGCTGATCCATCGACTGCGGGCGGGATGCGCGGGAAAGCTCATCCTTCACCGTTGGGGACAACCCCTCCTCGAACAACATTTGAATGGGTTCAGAGTCCAGTTCCCACCCGAGCCAGTGAACTAACATGGCAAAGCGTGACCAGTAGTCTCTAACTGACTGGTGCCCCTGTTTACAGTTCATCAGTTCCCGCCGAGTCACACTTTGCTGTACATCACTGGAGTACATTGCGTCCATCGCCTGGAAAAATTTCCTCAGGTCCTTCAAGGCGGCATTCTGCGTTGCCATTAGGGGCCTGATCCATTCCCTGGCCCCATCCTGCAGACGCCCAACAATATAAGCAACCCGCTCCCCGTCGTCTGCAAAATCATTCTGCTGCAGTTCCAAAGCGTACTCTATTTCCGTTCGGAACGCACTATAGTCCTGGGGCTTCCCTCCAAATTTGTGTACCAGTCCCGGTACCTTCCTTGCTACGGGGGTGGGTCTGACCTGTGCATCTTGAGCCCGCCTTTCGTCCAGCCGCGCCGTCAGAAGAGCCACATGCTGCTCCAAATCTCGGTTCCTCTCCACCAGATTTTGCACTCCGGCTGCTCCCTCCATGGCGCCAGGGACTGACGGATTGCTATAATGGGTATGGGGTTGCTCGTGCTTAAGTTGCCGCCTCTCCTGGCTATGTTGCCTTGTTAAACCTTTCTGTCTGGACAGCCCTTCAATTCGTGGCTGCCTCAGTCGCTAGCAGAATCCGTCAGTGGGCGTTTCTTAAACCTCTTCCAACATAAAAGTTGTTTGATGCCCAGTCTCCTCCTACTCTCCCTGCGTGGAAGTCTTCTGCACAGGGAGGGCGTGGGTAGCGGAGGACCAGTGCTCTCCCTGCTGGTGTCCAGTGAAGAGTCCTGGAGCCCTCTCGCCGATTCCCCCATCTGCCCCCTTTATCCCTGGTGTAACGTTGATTTGCTTCCCCCTCTGCTGAACTGCCTCTCTCCCTGCTTGGCCCTTCTCCAGCATCATTTGAGAGCCTTCCCTCCGCCTCAGGCTCCGATGTCAGTTCCCTGACAGGTGAGCTAGTCAGTTAGGGCTCAGATGTCAACAGGCCCTGGTGTACGTAAAAAAAGATGTCAGTGATAATGATAACTTGAAGCTACGTTCAATATGTGTACATATAGTCAGTTCCTAAGTCAAGGCGAAGCACTTGAAGAGAGAACTTCCTGTGAAGGTGAATGAGAGGAGGAAGCCAGTTTGGGCCAGGAGGCTCAGGAGTTAAATTACTTAACTGTACTTAAATTAAGCTGTTCATGTTTGAGATTCATGTGCCTCAAGTCTGTTTCTGTGAAAGACAGCTGTGGTGGTTTGTGTATGCTCTTCGCAATAAGCACCCTCTGCTCACTCAGATAGATATTTACAGTTCTTTATTTTACATATGTACAAGCAGCACAGTACAATCATGCATCCGAATTGTCCGGTTCAGATTTGGGGAGTGGTCTTCTCTTGCTTCTCGTCCAACAGAAGAGGCGGGGGAGCTTCATGGGACGTCTCTGATCCCTGCACTTTAACCCTCTCCTTTCCTGTGCCGAATGCACAGGCATAGGGGCTACGTCTGTTCCTGAGCTCCCTGTGCGGTGCTGGGGCTCTGTTTCAGCATCGGAGAGCCTTCCCACCTCCTGGCTCTCTCCCTCTTCCCCTTCTGTCACTTCCTCTCCGTCTCCTTCTGACTGTTCCCGCTCTGACTCTTCTCCTCCACCCCCACCCCCGACTCAAAGGTGTTCCTTGGCAGTCCTTGCCCTGCTGGGCAACAGCACAATATGCACCCCTTTTACAGTAGCAGATTGAAGATACTAGCTGTGGACAAGTGGATGGGTGTGATTTGAAGAGGAAAGTGAAGGGCCATGGGGCCCACTCATCCCTCTAGCCAAGGGCCCCCATTAACCTGCAGTCAGCCTTGAGCCCTAGTCACTAAAGCATCATCTTATTACCTTTTTGGCAGACCCAGTTAGATCAATGACCCTCAACACAGCTATGATTATTACCTGCAATACCAGCAAAAAATCTTTATCTTTGTCACAGAGCTACTTTATACCATCATTTCTCTACATAAAACTTGGTCATAAACTGACAATTTCAGCATTTTACTATATGTAAAAGCATTTTAAAAACCTGTGAATTAGGTCTCACTTTAGTAACCTATCTGAAGCTGCTGACTTCAGTCTAAGTATAGCATAGTCAGGCCACTTAAATCTCATGAACTCTGCTGGATTGCAGCATTTTCTCCATTTCCAAAGGTTCCAGTGCTTTCCAAGTTTATACAAATGTCTGTTGCATCATGCAGATGAGGATTTTATTTTATTTTTTGTAGTCTAAGCTATAATTGTGTGGCACTCCCCCACCATGAGGCCTATTTGACTGAGGACTTTGGACTGCACTGAAGCAATACTGAGAGAATTCTATAAATGTAAACATAGTGATTACTCCATAAAAATTATATGTGCACTCTAAAATAATACATGGCATAATATTGTATGCTAGGCTGTTAAGACATTTACAGAGGTCATAAGGATGATATATGTATGAATAGCAGCACAGCCAAGACTTAAATGCAATTAAGATGGTTTTTATTATATAAAATATTACATCCCACACAGAAACAGCTTCTATTTAATTATTTTGTCCAACGTGCCTCTTTTCATTCCCCACCCCCCTTCCTTCTCCTCCTGGCTACATTACACACTGGAGGAGGTTATTCTGCCTTCATGGGTTTTAGCTTAATTAATTGGCTAATCTCTCCAAGAACAGTTTTTATCTAAAATGTTTATGCACAATCTCTTAATTAACGGAAAGAAGAAAAAAAATGCTTATGGATTGGTAACCAAGTCATTTGCTGCCTCTTGCAATTACATTTGACCCATGACATTGCCATTAGCATTTTTGAACTAAAGCATATTTTACATTTGATTTCAGGGTCATGTACAATAGGTTGCATAGGGTTACATAATCTACATAATAATGCTGTATGGATTCAAGCACAGAAGGTCCACGGACTCTTTCCATCTGAATTCAAATGAGCAATGCATGCTCTGTGTTACCCTCCCTCATGTGCAAGCTGTAGTGGCTTTTAGAGGTGCACCAAATGTTCATTTTGATGCTAAAAAAACAACAACAACCCAAACCCTAAAACATTTTTGTTGTGTCAGTCCTGCTTTGAGGAATGTTAACTCCTCTCTCTGCCCCTTTCACTGTTTTCTTTTTTCCCTGTTGTGATTCAGTGTCTAACTGGCAGCTTCAATGGCTTTTAAATATAACAACTGGGGTTCTTTCTCCTAAAACATGACCCTTTCCCCAACCAGGGATTACCTATATGGCCTGTTCCTTAGGCAATAAACGAGGGCATTTTGACAGACACATAACTTCAATGCTTTGTAAAAATACTGAAAACCAATGGTTTGAATGAAATTCTTCATTGGGTCAATTGTACTGGCGAGGTCTCTTCCATCAGCACTGGATTTAGGGTGGCGCAGGTGGTTCCCCCACACAGGGTGACAAGCCAAGGGGCACAAAACAACAACAACCTATTTCTCATATATATAGGGAGGTGCCAAATTTTGTCCTCTCTCATGGTGCCATATCACCAAACGCCTCCCCTGCTTCCACCCTTCTGTTATTTGTCATGTTGGAGAAAATAATAATTTCATAAAACTGTATTTTGATGATTCTGATTTCTTTTGAGCCTATGGCCTAGCTAAACTGAAAAGGCCTGTGCCTGCCCACCTTTTGCAGTACAGAACTTGTTGTTTTTAGGTACTGTGTGCAGCGAACGTCTATTCCAAAACACTGAAAAGAATAAACTGTTAGACTCTACGGTGGCCGTTGTATACATGAAAAGAGAATCAGCTAGGCATGGCAATTGTGATTTATCTTGAATTTTTTTTTGTAGCTAGATGAAAGAGGACATTGGAATACATTTAATGAATAGGAAAATTAGTCAAAGTCTTAATAAAGGAAGACACTGAAAAATGGTTATATGTAATCACATGATATTATGGTGAGGGCTGATCTGAAGAGCCAAAGGTTTTTGATTGGTTCAGGATGATGACATTGGGTTGTGACTATTAAGATTGCTGTGATCCTTTGATTGGTGAAATGAAATGACATGTTTGATCTGGAAGTGTATAAAAAAACATTGCTTTGGATGTGGTTCCTTGCAGCCTCCTCCTAATTTTTGAATCTGTCCTTATGTGTATTTGTAAATCACTTGGAGTCTGCATCTTTTTCTTTTCTGTTTCTACGTGGGTAACTTTCAGTCTAGGAACCTCTTTTAAAATATCCCCAACAGTCTCTCTGTCTGCTTTTCTACCTCTCTGGTCAGATATCATCCCCCTTAATCCTGTTGTACTTCTGCTTAATCCCTTTAACCTTTGGAATTTTGAAGAGTTGAGGAAAGATACAGTTATCTGTAGCTGATTCTGCTTCTCTCACTTTGATCATGGCTGTATTTCAACAACGTTGCACCTGAAGCAAAAGTCAAAACAACATCAGTCTCTCCCATTCATTTTGAGGGATAATGACACAGAAGGATAAATGTTTGGAGGCGGGGGGGGGGGATAGCACTGAGATAAACTGCTTCATCGTAAAGACTGCCTTGAGAATGATATTCATCAACAATCACAATCGATGAAAAAGGTGGCAGCAATTAATTGCTTAGTAGATGTCTAATGATTTAAAATTACTATTAATACAAATTCTTATAAAAGTTGCAAACTGCAAGTACTTTCTTGAAAGAGGCAATCCAGCCTATTATTATAATCTAATAATAATAATAATAATAATAATAATAATAATAATAATAATAATAAGTGGTATTCAGTTAAGCATTATTTGGAGTAGACTCACTGAAACTGCTTCATATCTGATCAGATCACTGTGTTAGAAAACATATAGGATGCAAGGCAGGATACAGATCTGCTTCCACTGTGGTATAGTCCTTCCTTTACTACTGTGCTGTGGTCCTTACCTGGAACAGCAATGTTCTCCTAATTTCTGATTGATATTCTCCCCAATATCCATGCTAGACCTCCTGTTGCCTCTGTTACCTGTATTATGGGTTGGTGGCTTCAGTGATTTGTTATGAGTCATAGTTTCTAGAATGACTTTGTTAAATTCAGATTGTATATCTTTCAAGGTTCTTTTTCTTCCAGTTGTTTCATTGCTTTCTTCAATCTCAATTGGTTATAATGGTCCTCTCTGAAATGCTATAATTTGCAAGGCATGAAATGTTGATAGCGTCGAATTGAAAACAAAATGATGGGGAATAGCATTCCTTGGGGTAATATTCACCCACTCCATTTCCCCCCAAATGTCCCCCAAATATTGCAGGTCAGGATCAATGCAACATGACAGCCTGTCAAGAATCTTGCCATAATGACTGCTGAGTTTAGCAATGGTTGCACAATTATTTATTATTTCCATTATTCCTGTTGGGCTACTTTGGCTAATAGTTGACTGCAAACCTATTTTGAGACGTTTGGTGCATGTTACAGATCCTGAGTTGTACCTCTTGCCCTATGCTCTTGGCGCAATTTATCACTTGGGGGCATTTTGCAGAAATTGTCATGTGTTTTGCATTTTGTCTTGCTGTTGTATTTTTGAATTTTTATCATTTAAACCACCTTTAGAGATCTCTACTCAGAAAGGGAGCCTATAAATATTTTTTTTAAAAAAAATTGTCAAGGTGATCTGAAACGGAAGAGAACTGATGTAGCTGTTTTGCAAATACAGTGGTACCTCTACTTACGTTCACCTCCGGTTACGTATCCTTCGGGATACGTGCGCAGCAAACCCGGAAGTATTTTTCCGGGTTTCGCCATGCGTGCATGCTTAGAAGCACTCTACATGCCGCATGCACGCAAAGAAGTGCTAAACCGTGCTGTGCGCATGCACAGAAGCTGCAACTCCGGATATGCACACCTTGGGATCCGACCAGAGCTCCGGAACAGATCCCGTGCGCAACCAGAGGTACCACTGTACTGTGGGTATCTAGTAATGAAAAAAGCAACCCTCTACACTTGCAGTAGCCATTTCTGAATCTAATATGGCCATCATGCTGGAAATGTTATGACTAGTCTCCAACATTCACTTGGTCATTGGGAACAATTTTCCGGCTCAAATGCAGCTGAAATCTTGCCCCAAATGTAAATTTGCAACAAATGCAATTGATTCCAATATGGCACCTAAATGCACTACTTGCCAAATTGACAACATTATTTTTCTGGCACAGGCTGACCACTTCTAATTATAAGAGACATTTGTCATTTGTGGCAACCAGTGTCCTATGACAGCAAAATCTAGGGGGTGCATCCAGCACACAATGCGAATGTTCCATCCTTGCAAGGATGGCTGGCCTCAACTAGAGCCAGGGCTTTTTCGGCTGTGGCTCCAATCTGGTGGAACGCTCTGTCACAAGAGACTAGAGCCCTGCAGGACTTGACATCTTTCCGCAGGGCCTGCAAGACAGAGCTGTTCCACCAGGCCTTTGGCCAGGGCACAGCCTGACTCCCTCCTTCAGCAATCTTCGCAGAGCTCTGGCCCAAAGGTTGTCATTAATCTGATTGGAATTAATTTTATAATGAAATGATTTTAGAATGTTTTATCATTTTACTGTTGTTAGCCGCTCTGAGCCCGGCTTTGGCTGGGGAGGGCGGGATATAAATAAAATTATTATTATTATTATTATTATTATTATTATTATTATTATTTCTACTTGCTCAGTGTTATACTGCTCCCTCCATATATTTTTTTTAAATCAATTTTAGGGATTGCCCCAACCCTCTGGAGGAGATTGGGGAGAGCACATATGGGGAGAGGAGATGGGCATAAATTCCATTGTGCAAGCAGAAATCCTTGCACTGATGATGCACATTTGTTGAATATTTCACTAGAAATTTTTATTGGTCACTTTATATTAATATTGGGAGTGGGGAGTTGTTCCCAGCATCAGTGTACATGATTCATTTTCAGCCTTTTTTTTTTTTTAAAAAAAAATTCATAATCCTTAGGCAAAAAAGCACTTATAGGCACCATGCCACAGTACAAGCTCAATTAGCTCTCCTTGAACAGGACCAGACATTTCTTCAAATAAGAAGGGAAGTCCACTGACAATGTTGGCCAGCTGGGGCCCTACTGGGCAGCCAGGTCACCTGATCCTTGATGAACTGAAAAGGGCTGCCAGACCCTTCTGCCAGCAAGCAGCCTGGGTGGCAATCCAGAGAATAAGATGCCTTGGAAAGGCTGCCAGAGCCCCTGATTTGAAGCCCCTGTTGCTTGACAAATGTGTGAGCAAGACTGTAACTTTGAAACGTGATTCAGAAATTAGGAGAGGCATTTCTTTTTTTCTGCTGCTGATTGGAATGGGCTTACGTCACTCCATTTCAGTTGGCATTGTTGAATTGTATTAGCACACAGTGGGCCAATATTAATTTCCACGCATCTATAAAAGCAGCACATTTTTGAACTAATATCTCAGCGAGGCTGTTTGCCCAGTTGCAGGTCAGGGCAATGCTAATCTACAATGTATTAATATAATACAAGTCCAGTCAGTCCTTCTATGCTACAGCATTTCTATTGCCAGCTCCTAGAAAATGTAATAGGTTTGCTGCACTTTTCGAGGTGCACTTTTGACCTTGGTCTCTGGAGGGAATTCTCAGAGGCCAGTCATCCATGTACTGCAAGAAATTAGTATTTCTGCTCTGGGATGAGCTGCTGTAGCTGGTATATGTCTGGGGATTGTGTGTGTGGGATGCAACTTATTCCGAAAGCTAATACAGCAAGGCAAGATTGATTTGCATGGCATCATTTGAAGGACTTGGAAAGGAAGAATAATTGCAGTTTGCTGTCCGAAAGAGATGAAGCATGAAGAGATGTATGATACATTTTTCATCAGATAACTTTTCAGAAGAGCAGCTCCCAAACTTATTAATATGATTCACCATTGCAATTTAATTTTTGCTGCTGCTGGTGGGTATCCACCCCACAAGCTGGAAGAGATCCTGTAATTGACTATATGCAGTGCATTGTTTGCAGAGGCTTGGAGGCCAAAAGTAGCCTTCCAGGGCTCTCTGTCTGATCCTTTGAACTCTCCCCAGGCCGCACTTCCACCCCATCCACACCCCCTCTACCCAAGCCTTTACTCTGAGTCCTCCTTGACTGTTTTTGCCTGGCTGAAATGGGTTCTTGAACTCTGATAATGTCTCTTGCACACCTGGATGGGGGACAGAAGGGTGTGTGAGAGTGTGTGGGGGAACAGTTAATTGTTTGATTGCACACTAGAATGGAGAATGCCTGTATGTACATATTGCTGAAGGGTTCAACACTGGAAAATTCCATTGGAGTATACTAAGCTAAAAGAGTGCTCTCTGATCTTCTAGCTGAGCTGATAATTAATTGTTTGTGTTCTCTGCTAGCTCTCACATGTGTGTTTAACCTTAGATCTCATGAGGGTATTCAACTGCAAATTTGCCCTCTTGAAGGGAGTTGCCTGTTAGTCTTTCTCTGGACACCACAGAGACAACAAAGGATGTGATAATGATACCTGTCCAGGAACTGCATAGCCTTAGGCTGGATGCAAGCTAATGTAAGCTAAGGAGGAGACAAGGCATTGATTTTTGCTCTCATCATAATTATGTTATATATTTAAGAAGAACCGCCTATGCTTGGATAGGCATATGTTTTATGGATGTATCGCTGATGGTTTTGTACCTGTTTTGAAGAAGTCCTGGTAAGTAAAGCTTTGAATCATGATTATGAGTCTGGGCAATTTTTATTCCAAAAAGAGTCATTTTTATGCATCCAATAGTTTCATGCTGCACGATATTAATATCTGCAGCAGAAACTAGCCTACTGTACAAAAGTCAATATTATATTTATTGCTCCACTCTGGTCCCACTCACCACTGGAATGGCCCCTGTAAATTTGCCCAGAAGGGAGTGTGGTCCCACTGAGAGCTGAGCATGCTCAGTAGTCACGAAATGCTAAATGGCTGTTGAGTAGGGGAAATAAAAGTGTGAGAGAGAGGGGATGGAATGATATATCATGGGAAAGGATGAGGCTGGCTGGCACAACAAACGGGGCATTCAACATACTGCAGAGATTTGTAGCAGGAACCACTTGTCATGGCTAATAGTCATTGATGGATCCATCTTCCATTAATTTATCCAATCCCCTTTTAAAGCCATCTGTGAGAGCATTGCCTTCAGAGTACTTCTGTTTCTGCCTCTTTGCCTTTCTGGTAAAATTTCAGCTGAAATTTCATAGCTTATTCCAGAGTTGAATCTCCTCCCCTCCCCCTTTCCTGAAAGCAGCAACATACAAAATTCACTGCTGACATCAGCACCTGAAGATCTAATGAATTCACTGGCCTGTGCTTTCAGCAAATTTGGCTCAGCATCCCTAGTGAGCAAAATGTCACATTACCTCTGCTGAGCAGGACATTTCACATAAAATATTAGCAAAAACAATTAACTTTAAGCCATTAATCCCGTGGATGCTACTTTGCACCACATAAGGATTTAAGCCAATTCCCTGTAAATGTCTTTGGCTTAATAGATTATATTATGAAATGTAAAATTGAGAGATACTAAATTAGCTGAAATATTATTTCTATATCAATTTTAGTTGAACAAATAAGAGCCAGCGAGTAATAGGGCAAAAGATTAATGTTATATCAATATACACAGGTACAATTTGCATATTTTATTTTGCATTTCATTATCATTCATTTCCACAAAATTATTTGGGAAGGCAGGATATAATTTAGAACTTTGCATAGAAAGCATGGAGTGAAAATAAAGGACCAGCAGAAAAAGCTCCTTTCTCCCATTGCTACATGCTGCAAATGAGTAATGGCGGCATACTTTCACATGCTGTAACATGACCATGACATCTTAGGTGGAGGTCAGGCTTAGGTGAATAAAGGAATTGTGAGGGAGTTGGGAAAACTGGACTAACTCAGACTAACTTGGGGAAACCGGTAGGAGACAGATGCAGCCAGCAGATGAATAGGTTGGGTTGGAGGATTTCTTTCTTTTGTTATATTTTTTTTTATCTTGACTGATCCAAGGAGGCTAACACTATTGCAGTCTTTAAAAATAATTACACAACAAACTGCAACAACTAATTTTGAGGAGGCAACGAGCAAAAACAGCAAAAGCAATAAAACCCAGCAGATATTCAAAACAATAATAGAAGAGCCAATAAAAAAAACAACCGTATTCTTTCAGCCCAAATACTTCTCAAAATAGCCAGAATTTAGCCTGTTGCTTGAAGCTGCACAGTATTCTTTGCTCTGTCAGGTTTCCCTGGAGAAGGCATTCCATAATGTTGGTTCCATAACAAGAAAGGCCTTGCTTCTAGTGGACCTTCGCTGATCATGGTATCTCCCCTGCTGGACCTCACTCGGTGGAGGTATTAGGACAGTGTGGCCTCTTATACATCACCCCACAACACAAAAAGACCAAAAAAACCCAACCCTACAAATTTGCATAGAGTTTGCATATGCTAATTTATGGGCCGGATTCAACTAACTGGACCTTCTGGTGAGCCTACACAAGAACTTCCACTTAATCAAGGGGGCTTTCACCCTCTCCTCCCCCCACATGCTCACATGTGCCTCCTGCAATTCAGGTGGAGGGTTGGGAGAACCCCCAAAACAGTATGGGCGGTGTGCTTAAAAGCATTCAGTTGGGGAAGCAGAAATTCTTGAGCTGACAGATCATTTGTTACAGTGTGAGGATGAATTCCTCTGTATATGTTGAGTCGCAAATTTAGACATCAAAATAGTCTAAACAGAAATACAATGCAAGAACTACACCAGGGAAATCTATGACTAGGGACCTCTGTGCTTAGTCTGCTTTCGAGATGCCAAGTGTTTATGGGCACCCTCAAGATTCATTCTCTCCCTTCTTACCTTAAAAGAACACCAGGACCAGATAACACATCAAATGGAAGACACTTTCAGAGGACTGTCCTTTGTAAAGCAGGGCTTGTGACCATCCTACACTCACAGCCAGGTGAGCAGCAGCAGGGAGTACGGAAGAAAGAAAACACAGTAAAACAGGGATGAGAAATGAATGTGTTGGAAAGCAAAATGGTCAAGACAGAATAAAGCTGCTGACTCCTTTATATGGACTGAAGGATGTCAAGGGATGTTCCACTGCCTGTTACAACCCCATTAGCAGTATTCCCAACTAGAGCCAGCTGTGCATGTAGATAACAAGCATTAGGAAGTGGGGGTTGGCTGAATTCGTTCAGCTTAGTGGGTCACAGGTTGTGCAGGCTCCTCTTGGTGGAATACTACAAATCCTTTAACAGCACATAACTCCAGTATTCAAAAGCGTGCAGTGGCAGCCCATACGCTAGCAGGCTAGCTTCAAGATTATTGCATTACTTTGCAAGACCCTTAACAACTCAGGTTGAGGATACCTCAGGGACTGTCTGATTCCTTATATTCATGCCCCATCTTAGGGGTCTTTGGGGCAGTTTGTGTTGGCTCAGATGCACAGATCTCATCCACCAGGAGCCAGGTGTTCAGTTTTCTGGGCCCCATTTTATAGAGTTCCCTGCCAGCTGAGTCCTGACTGGTACACACACACACACACACACACACACACACACACAGTGCTTTTTTCTGGGGGTACGCAGGGGTATGCATACCCATAAACATTTTGTGACTCTAATGGGTGAAGAAACTAAAAGTTTTAAAATTTTTACTTTCTTCTCTAGCACAGTGAATCGTCAGTTCCGTTGCTACCCCCGATGGTGGCCTTATTTCCTGTCAGGGTGTTTCCTGATTCTCAGGCAGAAGCGAGCGTTTAATGTGTGAAGCAGTGTGGAATGTGGATGTGTGGTGTTTGTAAATTCATGATTTTTGAAAGGATGACATCTGAGGTAACGCATGTTCTTTGTACTGTTCTGTTGTCCATTTACTGTATTTATTTTTCCAGATTTGAACTATAAAATGGTGGTTTTCTTGAGTCAAAATGAGAGTACCCTTAAGCATTTTTTTAAGGAAACAAAAGCACTGTATATATTCTAGCAAGCATTTGCACTGAATTCTGATTTTTCCAATTTTAACTCCATTTTTATTTCCACTATATTGAGCTTCTTGTACACTGCTGAGAGACACTTGTAATTAAGTGGTATATGTTAATGTAGTCTAAATATATAATGGGGTTGAAACAGAGGAAGCAGAACTTGGTGAAAGAAAATGGCAGCATCTCACAATCTACAGCAAAGGGGGCCTGGTGGAAAGGGAAAGAACACAGAGACGTTAGGAGGCTCCTTGAGGCAGCCTGGGCACCATTTAGTCTGTCTCGGTTGTACCATTTCTCAAGACCAAATAATTCCTGTCTCCAAAGATCCCAGTAAGAGGTCTATTGTGACTACTAAATTCTCTCTCAAAAAAAAATTTTTTTAAGAAAAAAAGGAAATTATCCCTCCCAAACCAATTTCCCTGCTGTGAATGAAACCATTTTTCTTAATATAGCAAGCAATTAAAAAGCTTTGCATAGCACCAAAGTAAATGCACTTTACAGAGAGAGAATGCAAATGCCTCAAGTTGCAGTGGTTTTCCTTTGCCAGCTCTCAGCAAGCGGCCATTTAGCTTTAATTGTTCCTAACAGTGTGGGCCAATTAAGAATGACATCAGCAGAGCAAGGATTATTTGTTAATCTGTAAAATGTATATACCAGACAGTTCCTCTTTTGGCCATGGTTCTCCCCGCACAGCGCATGGGAGAGGGTGGAGAAGGGAAGGGAATTTAGCCAGCTGGAACTCTCCAAGAAATCCTTGGATATTAGCAAGCAATTGGTGATAAGCAAGATAAATGGACAAAGGTAATGTAACAGAACCAAATTTAGAAAGCATGTGCTTGTTTCTGGAAGGATGGGTATGGCTGGACATGCAGCCAAAATGATAAGCAGGATATAAACCTCTCTGTCAAGCATCCAGCAACTGCCTGGCATAAATTTATAAAATTATGCATGATGCAGAAAGCAGATAGAGAAATTCTTTTCTCCCACTCTCATAACACCAGAACTGGTAAACATCCAATGACCTGGATGTTGGAAGTTTCTCGGTAGTGGCGCCCTCCCTGTGGAACGCCCTCCCACCAGATGTCAAAGAGAACAACAACTACCAGACTTTTAGAAGACATCTGAAGGCAGCCCTGTTTAGGGAAGCTTTTAATGTTCGATGTATTACGGTATTTTAATATGTTGTTGGAAGCTGCCTAGAGTGGCTGGGGAAGCCCAGCCAGATGGGCGGGGTATAAATAATAAATTATTATTATTATATTATTATTCAGAACAAATAAAAGAAAGTACTTCTTCACACAGCACATAGGAAAACTGGAACTCCCTCCCACAGAAGGCAGCCATGAATTTGAGTGGCTTTAAAAGAGGATTAGAAGAATTCATGGAGGACAAGGCTAAAATGGCGCTGTCAGGCAGGTGTCTGGATCCAGCCAGCAATAACTCACAAGGTATCAGTGAACTATTCAAAGAAACAAAGCAGCTCAGGCCTAGCAAGCACAGCAACTATTCCCAGCAGATTGTGCCCCGATGAGGCAGTTGCAAGGACTGAAGGCCCCTGCCATCCCACTGCTCTCTAAGTCCCCCCCCCTTGATCCGTTCCAAGCAACCTGGGACTTCTTTGCCCTGTCTGTCTCTGCTCCGCTTCCAAAAATGCATTTGTACATCCATTTCTTAATTTGTTTACCATTAATTTGTATTGCAGTAATGCTGCTTTTGCAACCCACCTTAGATCAGACCTTGACCTAGTCTTTGGTCCCAATCCAATCCTGTAGTCACCTTTGACTGGACTTAACTGTCCAGGGGTCCTTTACCTTTTTACCTTTTTTACATTACAGTATAGGCCCTATATTATAGGGACTCGGATATTGAATTCATCATGGTTTATCTGCATACACAAGCTACCATTATGTGTTGCATTCACTGCATGGTCAATATAGAGGTGGATAGTGGTCTTAGCTTGACTGAGTGGCCTTCATTTACCTAGAAGGAAGTCTCACTGATTTCAAGGGTAATTACTCTGAAGTAAGGATGCTTAGGATAGTGGCTGTAAGATAGATATACAGTGGTACCTCGGTTTACGAACTTAATCTGTTCCGGAAGTCCGTTCTTAAACTGAAACCATTCTTAAACCAAGGTGCGCTTTCCCTAATGAGGCCTCCTGCCACCAGTGCCCTTCCACTGTTCGGATTCCGTTCTTAGACTGAAGTAAAGTTTGTAAACCGGGACACTACTTCCGGTTTTGCGGAGTTTGTAAACTGAATCGTTTGTAAATAGGGCTGTTCTTAAACTGAGGTATAGACATAGGGTGGAATTCAACACTGCACTAATACAATCTTCCCATCAGTGCAAGAATTTATGTTTGCCAGATACAATAACCTCTCCTCTCCTCTCCTGCATGTTGTTCTGGACCCACTACAAATATATTGCCTCAGGTGCCACCACAAAATGGCTGCCATGGGCAGCAAAAAAAGAAGTGATGTTACTCTGTGCCGGTGAGTGCTTTCACCCCACAAAAAGGTTTGTGTGTGTGTAGTATTTCAGACACCTGTCACTCTAGATGGTTTGTTTATAATGGGCACAATACAGCACAAGTAAAAATACAGAAAAGTTGTTTCAATCTGCAGAGCAGAAGTGCATGGAGGTGGAATGTGAATACGATGTTCTTTCTGTATATTTTAGGCTGCTTGCAATCCACGACAAGAAAAGAAGAGCTTCTCTTGTTCCTCGTTCCTGACTGGAGCTGCATTAAGAAGTGCGCTGGGATTCCCAGACTGCTATTAACAACTGCAGGGTTCTATCATTTTTGGAATCCCTTTAACAGACGACTCCATCAGCATCCCTCTTTTTCTCTTTTCTCTGTTGCTTTTCTGTGCTGATATGAAGAGTGATATGTCTGCTGGTGGTGATGAAAAGCTACATCACTGCCGGCTTCCCTCAAGTGGAGGCCTGCCAGTGCCAATCATTGTTACAGCAACTAACTCATCTCAGCTGTCCATGAAATCCGAAATCTTCCTTGGGGTTTTCTGCCATGCTACAGACAATCAATCCAAAGATGTTGAGATCTAGAAGTTTAAAGCAGATGCGGCTACAATTCTTGACCCGGCAAGTGGCTCTGGGATTTAACCACAGTCTTCGAGACCACAACCAGCCCAGCTGTGAGGATCGCAGTGCCAGTAATAATAGATCACATGGCTTCTGCAAGGAACGAAATTAAGGGTAGGTTGTGACCAAAGGATGGGAAACAACACTGAAAAAGCCTTTGAGAGACATTATGTCAGAATGATTGTAAATCATTGCAAGGCTGGGAACTTATCAACGGTATGTACTTTATTTATTCTTACTGTTCTTGTGGTTGAGGATGGTCTCGGTTAACATTTCTGAAAATGTAGTCATAGTCAGCTTCCCTGTATTCTTTACATATATTATTATACTAGATAGATAGATGGTAAATTTCGGGGGGAAATTCTATTCAAATCCAATGGGTTAAACAAATTTTAAATATACCATATCACTCATACAACCCACAGATTAATCAACAACAAATCATAACTGATACTTCTAGCATTTTTGAGTCATAACATTCAGTTAGATTTCTGTCCAATTTTGCTGCACAACTTCCAGTAGTTTTCTTATCTTCTGATATTTATTCTTGTTTTTTGCTTCTACTATTGAAGCAATTTAATTATCGCACCATTCTAACAAGCCTTTTTTTTTTTGCAACGCATATATCCCAGATTGTCTCAGAATATGAAATCTTATGCATTAGTATTCTATGCCAAATATAACATTTCCATTCTTCTAAGGATGACAGTTCTTGTCCCCCTTCTCCCACTTTTAACTACTAACATACAGGCTGATTGAAAACCATTGTGGTGTTTTTAGATAATACTTGGGCCACAGTGCCTGTGGGTGGTTTATTTCTTGTGATTTTCTTGACAGTCATAATTACAGTAACATATATATATATATATATATATATATATATATATATATATATACCAAGTATGTCTAAAAACTCCAAGTCTTGGAGAAGACAGAGAAGCTGAGGGAAGTCTAAAAAGAGAGAATTTGTTTGCCAAAGATTGGATAAAATTGCATATTTGTGTTGTAAATCAATAAAAATTATTTAAAAACAAAAACAAAACTCCAAGTCTTGTCCAAATATTCAACATAACGCTTCCCTAAATTCACAATTCAATGCTTTATTTCTGGTCTGAAAGTGCATGAAATGTTACGCAAGCCAACGTGCATTTATTTAGGGCATAAAAGTGTATATATTAGTGAAGATAACATAAAAATACAAATTATTTTTGAGGATTTCGCTTACAAAAATGTGTATATTGGTCAAAACTGCAAACAAAAACCGCATCTATTGGGAGGTATTTGCACAAAAACAATGACAAATTTTCATGAGATTTTTTTAAAAAAATGCAAATTGCTGTGGAAAGGTGAAGAACTGAATTTGGACCTAGAAAAATGAGAACCAGAGATACATCAAAACGGACAGATTCTTACATCCCAAATCCCAAATACAGAAGCTGAAGAATCAGGAAAATGGTTTGGGAAAGTGAATCTGGGCCAAGGGCCATTTCACAAAACCAATTTTCCTAGAATTACTGGATTAGTTTCATGAATCATGGGCCAAATCACTGGTTTTATCCTGCCCTCTCTGAGAGTCAGCTGAATTTTCAGATTTCTGACATTGAACATGGTGGGAGAGAAAAGCCACTCATATTTGCATTCACAGAGGAGAAGGAAAGCTAATTCCCCCAGCTTTGTAAGGTCAGGTGCTTGTCGGTGTGAAGATAGAAGCTCCAGGATGAAGAAGAAAATAGAAGAATCTACTGACATGAAAGTGGCAAAGGAAGTCTTAGAACTGTATTGGAAAATGTCCAGTGAAGGTATAAATACACAATGAAGTAATCTGTGAAAGACTGCCTCCTTCCCTATGGGTCATCCCAGGTGCAGAGATCAGCAGATAACCCTTTGGGTAGTTCCATCATCCTCAGAAGTTTGCAGGTGTGGCGACCCACAAGAAGGCATTCTCTGTGGTGGCATCTAAGCTGTAGAATTCTCCTTCATTGAAGGTGCACTTCTTCATCCTTCCTTTGACAGCTGAGAGAGAGAGAGAGAGAGAGAGAGATCCTATTCTCTTGATGCAGTTGCTTTTAACTGATTTTAATATTGTATTTTAATATTATTTTGACTTGCCCTGGAACTTCTTAGAGAAAGGTGGATAAGAAATCTTGTCAAAGACAATGACAACAGCAGCAACTGTTGTTATACTGAAGTGTGAGAATAGCCCCATGGCAGCATGTGTACCTCGTAGCACTATAACTTGTCAAGGCCAAGGGTAATTTATCCGGGTCTCTCTTGCTCTCCACTGCTCCACTAAACCTGGAACAGCGTCACTTGTGAGCACTGTAATTCGTTCAACAGTGAAATTGCGTCCTGTTGGGAAGATGCTATTTTTGTTAGCTGTTGTCTGAGCTGAGCTGGCTGCTTTCTCTTGTGCAGTCACAGAGAGGCTGTTTCCACCACCTGCAATAAGCCTGTAATCTAAATAGGTATTTAAAAATTGTACAAGTCTTCAAAGGGATGCAAGCAATAAAATTCTAGCAATGCAATTTTATTCTGCATCTACAACTAAAATAATCCAAAAAGTTTGTGTAAATAAGAATATTTATCAACCTTTGTCCCCTGCACAGTGGGCATGTCCCTCCATCTCTGACCCTGTGGAACATTGATCCCTGGCATCTCTGGGTAGGGCTGGGAATGTTCTCGGTCTGAAACCCTGGAGAGCAGCTCCAAGCTCCCTGCAATGCAGGAATCTCAACGAAAGCATCCATGACAGACGGCCGCCCAACCTCTGCTTAAAAACCTCCAAGGAAAGAGAGTCTACCACCTTCCAGTGGAGTTCATTCCACTGTTGAACAGCTCTTGCTGTCAGAAAGTTCTTCCTGTTGTTTAGTCGGAATCTCCTTTTTGAGTCCTACCCTCCAGAGCAGGAGAAAACAAGCTTGTTCCGTCTTCTATGATAGCCAAGAAGATATTTGAAGATCAGTCTACTCTTATCCAGGGACACGGGTGGTGCTGTGGGTTAAACCACAGAGCCTAGGACTTGCCGATCAGAAGGTCGGTGGTTCGAATCCCCATGACGGGGTGAGCTCCTGTTGCTCGGTCCCTGCTCCTGCCAACCTAGCAGTTTGAAAGCATGTCAAAGTGCACGTAGATAAATAGGTACCACTCTGGCGGGAAGGTAAACGGTGTTTCCGTGCGCTGCTCTGTTTTGCCAGAAGCAGCTTAGTCATGCTGGCCAGATGACCCAGAAGCTATACGCCGGCTCCCTCGGCCAATAAAGCAAGATGAGCGCCGCAACCCCAGAGTCAGTCACGACTGGACGTAATGGTCAGGGGTCCCTTTACCTTTACCTACTCTTATCCAGGCTAAACATACCCATCTCCTAATCTTGATCACCCTCCTCTCCACACGTTCCAGCTTGTTTATATCCTTCTTAAATTGTGGTGGCCAGAACTGGACACAGTATTCCAGAGGTAGTCCGACCAAAGCAGAATAGAGTAGTACTATTATTTCCCTTGATCTGGACACTATATTTCTGTTGATGCAGCCTAGAACAGCATTAGCTATTTTTGCTGCTGCATCATACTGTTGACTCATCTTAAGCTTGTGGTCTACCAAGACCGCTAGATCCTTTTTACATGTACTACTAGTAAGCCAGGAGTCCCCCATCTTATATTTGTGCAGCTGGTTCTTGCTGCCTAAGTGTAGAACCTTACATTTGTCCCTATTGTTAACATTAGTGTTGTGTTTTGATCATTGTAATAAGCCTGGTGGCATGTTTGAATATGCCAGATGGCAGACTTCTTTTTTTAAACCAAGGTAAATAAATAAGTGTATGCCTTGTTTGATACATGCATTTGAAAGCTTTTTTTGTGGATGGTGTGTTTAGAGAGCACTGCACAATACTTCTTTGGCATCTCTTACTCCCTACAAGGATTAGTTTTCAAATCCGTAGCGTAACTATTCAAAAAACCCAGCCTTACACTACTGTATCGCCTAACCTTTGAAGAGATCAGCATGACCTTAAAGGATGGAAATTACATCTGACTGCCATTAAACAGACTTCCATAAAAAGGCTTGTTTGATAAGGGCAAACTACAAGGAAATGTTTGATTCCATAAGCACAAAAGCAACATAAAACATGAAGGGAAATGTTAAAAAGTCAAATAGTTGTCTACCGTAATACTGTAGAAAGAGGGAGAGAGAAATATTATCTAGTTTGCTACTTGGAACCAATTGATATTTGTCTAGGTATTTAATTTCTGAACTCTTGGGTTGAAGCTTACACATGTTTCAGAGCTAGATTGCCAGGTTGCTAGAAATAGAAATTGGACCAACAGAGCCCAAATGAGGCCAAGAGTTGGTATCAGACAGAATTCTGCAGGTGGCCTTCCATTTTGTTCCCTCACACATTAAAATGAGTTGCAAACAAGGCGAAATAGGTCTGCATGACTAGGATGTGCCTCAGGGGCTAGGTAGCATTGGATGGGGGTGGTTAGGTGGGCATTGATGAGCGGGGCAAAATTAAAGTAAATACAGTTTAAGCAGCACTTATCTCGTAAGAAAGGGATGAGGAAAATTGTACTGCAACTCCTGTCAGTCCCTGTCAGCATGGCCAATGGTCAAAGATGATGGGAGTTGTAGCCCAATAACCAATTTCCTTGTGTAGCACCTGCTGTGCCTTTGAACAGTGTTTTGCCTATGTATCACACTGATCTAAGCACCAAAGATTTTGGTAGAAAATGCACCCTGAGTTTGAGTTCCTCATCGAATGGGAGCCAGGACACACAGTTCCCATGAGCAGAACTCTGTTCACAGGACAATCTTGCTAGAAGAAGTATGGGGCAATTTTATTTGACTTGTTGTTCTTTCCCCTTTCCAGTGATGTATTGTCAATTTGTAATTTTTTAAAATTTATTTTAAAATTTAAAAACTCGGATAGAATATTTATTCTATTGTATATGTTTCATTTCCTCCGAGGAAGTTCACAATACGACTTCTGAAGGGCTGTCACATGGAAGATGGAGCAAGCTTGTTTTCTCCTGCTCTGGAGGGTAGGACTCGAACCAATGGCTTCAAGTTACAAGAAAGGAGATTCCAACTAAACATCAGGAAGAACTTTCTCACAGTAAGAGCTGTTCGACAATGGAATGGACTCCCTCAGGAAGTTGTGGACTCTCCTTTCTTGGAAGGTTTTAAGCAGTGGTTGGGTGGCCATCTGTCATGGATGCTTAATTGAGATTCTTGCATTGCAGGGGGTTGAACTAGATGACCCTTCGGGTCCCTTCCAGCTCTATTCCAGCTCCCTTCCAGTCCTGTGAGGTAGGCTAGGAATCACCTAACACAACCCAAAACACTTTGTAACAAAGCAGAGACTTGCACCTGGATTCCTCACATGCAAATATGAGAATTAAACTGTAAAATATTTAGTAATGCTCCTTGGAAGCACTTCGTTCAGTTAGCATTTCATTGCTAGCCCATATTGGCTCTGTTGTAGCACTACAGCTGCAGTTTGAGATATAAATGGCAAGAGTCAACGTGCTGAAAATTCAACACATTCCCCGAGCAGCAAAGGGATGCAAGACAAATGTTACAGTATTACTGACAACACCAGTAATGCTTATGTAAGCATTTGCTTCATAAAATACAAACTGGTAACATTAAAACAAAGCATTAAAAAAATCTCAGCAGCAGAATTTTCTGCCCTTTGTCCCTGCTCTAAATCGCTTTCCCCACCCCAGACTATTTTTAACCATATTTAAATAAGCAGGCTTATGTTTATTTTGTTGCTTTCTGTTCCTGATATATATACTAATAATATTTTCTT